TAGACAACGGTCCAAGACAACAGGCACAAACTGAAGGATGGAAGGTTCTGATGGGGTATTGGCATTTCTGTTCCTAATGAGAGCAGCCAGGCAGTGGGTCAGGCTGCCTCGGATGCAGCCTCAGCCCCTGGTGCTCTCCAGCACGGAGGGGATAAAGCCCCGAGCGCTGAGCCTGAGGAGCTGGCCCTGCTGTGAGCACCTGGTCTGATTTCTACAGCAGGCACAAGCATGGCAGTTTGTGCCATGGTCTTTAAAGTACTCTACGCGTGCTGTTAAATTAATGGCATCGCAGGTTATTATCCCACTCGATGCGGATCTAAATAACAGCCAGGATCTTTAATATGACTGGGAACTCGCACTTAGAAGAGGGCCGAGCCTCCCTGCAACCACCTCCTCAAGCAGCAGGCAGCAAGGCTACCCTGAGCACCCTCCTCACCCAGCCCCAGCAGCGCAGGGCGGCCACCTACCAGCTCCACACGGGGCAACAGCCAGGGAGGAGCCCAGCGGTCCCCAACGGTCCCCAACGGCCACCAACGGCCGGCGCGCGAGAAGCCCCCCCACACGCGCGCGCCCTCCCCTCACAGCCGCAGCCCCCCACCCCCCGCCCCAGTTACAAAGCGCGTCCCCGCGCCGCCGGGCCCTACCGGTGGGCGCGTGCCCGCGGCCGGTTCCCGGCGTTCCCGGCTCCCCTCCTAGCCCCGCCGCCGTCCCCCAGCGCATCCCCGGCCGCGCATGCGCCCTCCCGGGCTCCCCTCGCGGGCGGCCGGCAGCAGGTGCCGCGGCTCGCGGCGGCCGGGTCGCGGGGCGGGGCCACCGGCAGGTATAAAAGGCCGGCAAGATGGCGGCTGCGCGCGGGAAGCGGCTGAGGGCAGAGGGGAAGCGCCGTGAGGTGCTCTGCCCTGGCTGGGGGGAGGTGTTAGGAGGAACGGCGGATTCCGTCAAATTGGTGTTTAAAATGGTAAATGCGTGCTCCGCTGTGGGCTTTCCAAGGTCAGCCGCCGTCATAGTCTCTGGGATTTTAGATGTACTCGCTGTGGTAACCACGCACCTCTGAGCATTTAGCAGGCTGTTCAAAGCCAAGCCCTTGTTCCGTTGCTAATTTAAACGATTTAGGTCAAATTAACAAAACCCTTTACTGACGTGAAGACTCAGTCAAGCAATCCAACCCAGATTCCAGGAATAGTAAAGCAGAGGGACTGTCCCGTGACTCTGGACACTGTACAAGTTGAGAGAATTTACAACATGACACATGGCAGCAGTATGCAAAATGGGGAGATGGCACAGAGAAAAGCAGTTCCTTGAGAGACCACTAGGAACTTTTTGGCACCAGAGCTGTGCAGCTAGTGACAAACCAGATCAGGGTTCACAGTGTTTCCAGATAACATTGTGTCATTCAATTCACATCATCAAAGAAGGCCTCCTCGCCAAAAGCTGTACCAGTTCCGTTTTACATTATTTGATTCTTACCACAGTCTTACGGATGTAATAGTTATGGCCCACACAAAATACTTTATAACTTGAGGTAATTTTTATAGATGTCTCCATTTGTTTTTTCTACCACGTACTAGTTTGCTAACTAACCTAAATAAATAACTCAGAACTGTTTAGAATTAACACTAGAACATGTAACTTGAACTGTCAATCCAAATGCTTTTTTTTCCTTTTTTTTTTCTTCAATATTCCACCTTTCAAGCATTATAAGGTCAGTGTAAACTAATGCAAAAGCTTCAAACTTGATTTCTTCTTTGACAACATCATCAAAACTTACAACTGCTACAGATCATTTCAATTATGAGCTCTAAAGATCAATGTAAATATCACAACAGCGTATACTTATGTCATAGAAAAGCCATACCATTTCTTCTCTTGTTAAGGTGTAGTAATACTGATCAGAAGGATCTTTTAAGCCTCAATTCAAATCCTTATTTAATGTACTTCTCTGAAACAGTACCATACTCCTACAGAATCTTCAATCTTTAGACACCTCCAGCTCAAAAGGAAGTGGGGAATGTTCTTGTACATTCCATCATGAAAAAAGACAGATGAAAACTATCATTGCAGCTTGAGATACACATACATGTACGTCCTTTTAGAAGTAATTGGAGAATTTAAGAATTCTGCTCACTGCATAATTCGTTTTTAATATTCCTACTGTTCATTGTAAGACATCTATGAAAGATACATCTGCAATTTTCCATTCATGAAAATAAATAATATTTATTTATAAACAACCCGAAACAGGAATCTCAGAGAACACTGTTTGTGTAACCAATAGGACAGCTAACAGATATGTGACAGAGTAATGCAAACAGTAAACGTTGGGGAAAATTAAGATCCTTGTGTATGGGATGCTATCCACTCAACATTCATGCAAATGGGAGAGAAAATTTCAAATTCAGTAAGCAAATCCACCTTCAACTTTAAATTAAATCTCCCCTAATTAATTTTAATAGATATTCCTGTTGAGCCTAGTCTCTTCCCAGTGTAAATCTATCCTCCATTTGCATTTAGAGGAGATGTGTAGTTGTATTTAGCTGCACAAAGAGTCACAATAACACTGATGAGATTAGGGCTCAGATAATTAATGGAAATAAAAACATTAAAAAAGATCAGTAAAGCCAAGTTCATAATTGCCTTTTGTATCACAAACAAATGTTACCAGTTCCCTTTCAAAAGTCCCTCAAAGGATTTAAGACAAGAATAGAGTCACACTGCTCAGAGAAATTAATAACTTCACTTCAGTGGAAATCAAAATGGGTACAATAAATCATCATTAGTATTGAATTAGCTTGCAAAATGGGCTTTCTTCCCACATATGCATTTAACCTAATTATGAACATGTAAAATGAGGTAGCCAATATTTTGGAGACTGTGTATTAAACCACATGCAAATACTGAAGTAGAATACCCTAATGAAAGAGGTCAGTGATCTGGTAGGGAACCTGGAATGCCTCTTAAGAGAGTTGTTTTTTTAACTTACTGTCTTTGTTTTGTAAGTTAATCAGAACGCCTATGGCACAAAAACAGTCACCTGCGAAGTGAGAGGATGTTCTGTATCCCATAGGTCAGTTACCTGAACTGAAAATTCTCTTGAGGAGCCCTTAATATGGCCTTAGAGACATGGTGTGGGAAGGTGCGTGCAGGTTCAGTAGAGCTTATTAAATGGAAAACCACAGATAGGAGCTTCCTTTCAGGATCAAAAGGCTATATAAATATAACCACTCCATGCATAACAGAGATTGTTATGAACACCCAGAGCTAATTGTTGACATTAACATGCAAAAGTACGTAAGTATACTTCTATTACACTGTTCTCTCAAAATTACTAGGGCTGTAGCACTCATAACTTAGTTATCAATTCTTCAGTGAAAATCCAGAGTTCGTCTCACAAGGTTCCTTCAATTTTGTAGAGGAGCTGAGGTTCTACAGACTGGCCAAAAAACCTCTGCACTCCATAAAGCACCAGGAAGAATGGGGACTACGCAAAATTTGACTCAACAGTGCATAAGCGAGCATTTGTTATTTACTCTTTCAACATCTGTAAAGCTCATTTACATCAAAGCGTATTCGAGGATTGCAATGGTTAGGTAAAATAAGTAAAAACTGAAACAGCATAAATGAAGTACATAGCAGGATGTACAGAATGAAAAAAAAAAAAGTATACAAATGTCCAGTCACTTCCTAATATAATTTCAGGTACTCCGATAAGCTCTTTGGAATTATCCTTCAACAGTTACAAATTTAATTTCACTGTGAAAATAAAAGGCTTTGGTAACAAAATCTTTTACCTCTGTACTTTGTGTTTTCATTGATTAATAATTGACCTGAAATTTCATCCTATACAATATCTCTTACCTGTAATGACTGGCTGCTAGACAGTCCAAATGTAGACATTGCTCCCAGCCTATGACTGTTCCAGTGAAAGCAATAGCAAAAGATTTAAGTTTCTACTACATATAGTACTTAATTAGCAAGATGTTCAACAATAAATGCTCTTTGCAGTTCGATTTCTACTTCTTTCATATGTTGATAACAGGTGCATCATGCCTTATAAGAGGGTAATAAATAGGGGTAAACCCTATTCAGGTCAGTTTGTTCTTCCCCAAAGATGCTAAAGCATTTCAGGTTAAGACAAGAATGACTTCAAAAATCGTTTATTTCCCCTTAGTGTAACGTAAGTTGTGTTTTATTCCCTAATACAAGTTTTCACAGTTATATGCCATTCTGACTCATGTATCAGCAGAGAAAAATATAAAAATCATAAAGGCTATTTTGATCCTGGTCAGAGCTCTGCCCTTCGTTTGCCATGTAGCCCTATGCAGAGCCACCTGGTTTCCCTTCAATCCCTAGCTGTAGTTTTAGCTAGTGCATTTTAATGATCCAGTGTTCTCAGTGTTATTCAACCTTCCCTTTACTGTAGATGCTTATGGATAATAAAGGTGTCTCTGTGCATCTTCAAGCACCTCACATTACTACAATAATTCTTAACCTGCATTAAATTCTTATCCAAGTGAAGGCTGCAATATTTGGTCCAAGAAATAACACATGTATTTACACATATACACACATATATAGCATCACAGCATATATGTTAAGTATTGTAAATTATCAAACTATTATTGGAGATGGTCTTTTAAAAAACTTCCCCTCTGAACTGTTTTAATGTATGCAAGAGAGCTCATTCTATATTATTTTAAATGAAATACTCTAATATTAAAAATACTGTTATGCATTAATTTTACCCATTTAACACAAACCTATACAAAAGCGTACAGTGCAGTTTATAACGTTAGGGATGCAATGCTTGTGCTGGCGAATGAGGGCGCACTCGTGCCTCAAGTGCTGAGGAAGCAATACCGGAATGCTGCACATCACAGGTAGACATCCAAGGCGCAATTTCCCAGCAACACTTCAAATGAGGCTACAGTGGTTTAGCTGTTTTTTCAAACTTGTATTGAGTTTTGGCTCGTGAGCAGGATTGAAGTATCAGGACAGACCGATCAAATAACAGGATCCAAAATTTTATTTAAATAGATTTTCTTTCTACAAAAATATAGTTACATGTGATACCCTGATTATTTCCTTTAGTTAATTCAATGCACAATTCACATAAAAGTTTTACACTCCTTTCAACAATACGTATTTAATTTTCAAGTTATGCAAATGGTAACTTGTAGGCACTTCCCGTTTAAAGAAATATATTAAGTATCTGTTATGCTACATTAAGGCTGAAACACATGGTAACTTTGGGATCCATTTTCATGTTGTTAAATTGTTCCTTTCTCCGGTGGACTGCTCTAAGTACTTGCAAGGAATATGGACAACTTTTTTTTACAAAACTAACCAGTGTTCTTCCTGGAGTTACAAACCATGTCCTTAATATTTTCCCCAAATGCCCACATGTTTAGTTCTAGTGAAACTTGTCCTACTTTTATGTTTTAGTCCCTGAGACAACCTGTAATGCCTTATCAATTGTTTATAGTAATACATAATCAATGTTGCTAAACTAAGATGGGATTTATTTTTTATATGTATATATATTAACAGCTTAGTCAATAACAGTTTATGGAACTTTCTAATGTGATCGTTTTTTTCACAGCTTTTAATATTCTTTATATTATAGAAATATTTAACAGTTATCTCCACTCTTTCCCAATACACAGTATTAAGAATAAAATGGGTCTGGATTTGTTCTTTGTACCCACTCAGGTTTTTGTTGCTGTTAGCCTGGTTTCAAGCAAGTCCATTAACAAGTGACATGTCAAAAATATATTTTTTTCCAGTTTTCAGTTTTCAGATGTCTCAATAAGTACCTGGGAAAAAAAATAGCAATATATATATATATATTATTTTCTAAAATGTGCAGAAATGTTTCCTAAGACATTAGCTTTTCCTTCCTTCCAAGTATGACTACAGTAATTCTCTTCAGTGATTTCTGCTGAATGTTTTCTATTTATGGGTTCACACACATTCAGGCATTTCATTTATACTTGAAAGAAAAAAAAGTCATCTGTTTGCATATAGTAATTAATATCCAAAATGGTGACTGAAAAATGCTAGAAAATCCTCCTTCAGTTGGTTGATATATCATGACCCAAATTCTACTGGCCATATTTACAGCATTGCAAAAACTGGAGAATTATCCCATTTAAGCATTTTCAACACTTTTTGTATGAAGAAAATAAGTAAATTCTCCTCCCTTTAGTAATTAATATACTTTTCCACTTGTGTACTTTTTTTCCCCACACAGAATCCCACTAAAATTAGATAAAAAATTATGACCATCAATTCCTATATGATAGGAGGAACTAAAACCGATTTAATAAAGCTTTTATTAAAATCCTTTTATTAACATGCTTACCTCATTAAGTATTACCCACACAGGAGAATCAGAATTGACTGACAAACGAATAGCCTGTATTTTTTTTGGCAGGTTGATGCTGCCTTCTGCAATTCCATTTACAAAAGCCCCTAAATGAAAAATAAAACAACGTCAGTACAAGTCTATATTAGGATGAAATATACTTCCAGGTGAACTTAGTGAAAGTTCTAAATTACAAATTATAAATTAACACCAGGGATGCAACAGTAGAGGAAAAAAGTCATTTGAAAAAGTTCAAACTGTAGCTGCTGAAAAACAAAGGTATAAACAAGATAATTTCTGCTGTACATGAGGATTCATTTATTCAGCTAAAACAATTAGGAACTGGAGAAGAGCACAAGTAAATAAGGAACCTGCAGCTACAAATGTTAGAAAATAAATACGTTAGTACTGACAATACACGTCTGACCCACGGGTCACGTTAAAGAATTTAGAAGAGCTTTTCTGATACGTACAACTATTTCAAAAAGAGATATAAGGGATCATGGATCAATTCTAATATATTCCTTCACTAGTTCTACGCTTGTTAGGTACCCTTGTCAAACTGGCATAAAATCAGCACAGACAAAAGAAAAACACTCATTGCATCCGATATTCATTTCCTAAGAACTTGCACATACAACTTGGAGTTAACAACATTTGGTTTTCGATCTCTAATTAGAACAAAATAGCCAAGAGGAGGTGGGGGTAAATTAAAGCAAGCAAGAAGTGATAGTGAGCTGAAAGTGGCTCATTGGGGGAAAAAGAGCAATTATGTGATAGAAGAGACAGAAGAAAAGTGGCAAGCAAAGCAGATCTCCCAATAGTTCATTTTTATTCACGTAATGATATTTTAGTTTAGGTTACAGTAGACAACAAGCTTTGGCAGGTTTGTGGAGAATCTGCAGTTCACTTACAGAAGTCAATTGCTACCCCGAGGAAGGAAGAAAGGGAAGCTGGGGTTGGGCAAAAATGCATTGTGTTATGCTTTATCTCTTGATTTCAGGGGGGAGCACAAGTTAAGTCTGTCATAATCAATAAGGAATCATTTTCTTTAGCTAAGGCCGCAAAATCTAAACCGGAATCAATCACCCTATTAAAACTTTGCAGAGGCCAAGTTTTTCCTGTCATAAGATGTCCTGACTTTTGCCACCAGCTTTGGGGTTTTTCATTATTTAAAACAAAATAGGATCATCAATGGTCAAACCACATACTACAACAAGCAGCAGTGCAAAATATTTGTTTTCTTTACTAGTTACTACATTGCAACGGTGCATTTATTACAGGGTTAATGAAATTCTCAAACACAGAAGCATTTTACATGGAAAATCAAAATTTCTGGTTTTGAAGTGACAATAAGCAAATTACCTATCTTTAAATATCCGTCTTTGGTTGCTGGATAGTTAAATTCACTTCCATTGTCAAGCAATCCTTTTCTTTCAGCTTCCTGTAACAAAGAAAACAATACTCAGCAGTGTTTTCTGGGACGTGACCTTCCATGCCAAATATCATTCTTAAACTGAAATAGCGTTGTGTTGCAGGTAGAAATAAGAGACTTACATCAGCTAGCAACACTTCCACAGTAGTGTTATGTAGTATATCACCAGGGTGCTCTATGTTTCCACTTCTAAAGAAGTACCTGATGAAAAAAGGTATATTATTTGCAGGTATTTCCTTTTCCGAAGGAAACTTTTAAACATCTTCACTTTAATCAGTTGTGGGCTACAAAGAACATAAGTAGGCATTGATGTGTGTGACCAAACCACATTAAAACCTTTTTGTTTTAAATGAAACAAGCATTAAAGTCATCTTTCTCTGGAACGATGGACATAAGCATTCCTCCCTTTCAGTGCTCAAAATCCAAAACAATTACTTTGTCCAGGTTTAAATGGCTATGGAAGATCCACTCTACAACTCACTCCTATCATCCTAAGGCCTAGGTAAGATGGGATTCTGAAATACAGTGACAGAAAAAATACCTGTCTTTAGAAGATTATATGCTACATGCCAAGAGACTCCCCCTCTTTATCAATACTGATCAGTTCAGGAGCTCTAAATGAACTCCAATTGTTGCCAATGAGCAACAGCAATGTCAAAGAATGACTTGAATTATCAACATTGAGCAAAAACACCTGTGAGATTAAAAAATCAATTTGGTTTTGATTTTCTGGTATTAGAGTTCTTAGTTTTTGTCTGAAAAGAGCTACAGAAATGTGAAGCATTAACCCTCCTCCTTCAGTATGAATCAAACAATGGAGACCTAAGAAATCCACCAAGTATTATAAGATTAGCTGTGCATTTTCACAGGTTAGTCATGGGGGTAGATCTCTTTGAATGAGAAAATGTTTAAGGTGGAACTTAGCTACAGATACAAACACCTAACTCAAAGTTAGATGTCTGGCCGTGACCCAAATGTTTATGTGTTCATAGGCAATACAAATACACTCAAAATAGTCAGTGAATTCCAGCAAATGACTCAGATGACCAAATGGATGATAAGATGAATATCTGTCTTGCTTCCACTGGCTGTATCAAGCAGATTGCTCTCCATCACGTACAGTGGGAGCTTATGCACCGACCTTACATAGACATCTCTGCTGTAGATACTACATTCATGTTTCTGAATCTGCAACTGAATTCCACCTTTATTAATTTACTCTTCACTGTTTCCCCACACTTGCTCTGTGCTTTCACCTGCACTGGGAAGTGCCTGGGACGTGACCTTTGAGCTAACATTATGCCAACAGCCTTTCTGTTGGCAACTCTACAAACAAAGCTTTCACTGGTTTCATTGATGAAACTTGTTAGTTAAAACCAAATTCATTTGAGAGCTATTGTAAGCTATTTAATATTTTAATGAAGAAATAAAAGGAGGAAAAAAAAAAAAAAAAAAAGCTGTCTAATTACCATGTAAGAAATGTATTTGAGGAGTGGAATTCAAGAAGGGGAGTAGGTACATAGCAAATCATAACAACTCCTCAGTAACCAGGCCATGCTTTACGCAAGCAGTTGAGCACTAGTGATTTTGAACAGACTCAGTCATTTCCAAAGTGAATACATGTAAGCTACCATATTCCATACCAAGCAATACTTACTTTTCTACCTTAAGTGGTTTTAAAAAGGTGAATCTGATATAGTCCCCAGCCACTGGAGCCGAAGCCCAAAAATAATCTTTTCCTTCATAAATTTTTTCCAAGGTATATTGCTGGTATACTTTTAGGCTTGTATACACTTTTGCAGGCGGATTATTATGTGCTTTATATAGCACATTACTGCCAAAATCTTTATCCTGTTGGATACAAAGAAATGCAAGTACACTCATAAAAATACAATAAAAAGAAGTGCTCCAATATCTTGGAATTATTACAGGTAACTATTCCAGAAAACACGTACTTGTCAAAAGTGTCAAAAAATATACCATCTATTTCTGATAGAAATAGGATATTCATTTCAGTGTTATCACTGAAACTCAGTGTTATAGTTTGTACGCTGAGCTGTACTGATTATTTCTCAGCTGTCTAGATTGAAAAAGAAACATCTCCAGGGTAGACTATTTTGTGGTTGTCTCCTATACCTTCTGCCAGAACATCCAATATTAGCCTCTGCTAGAGGCAACTTGAACACCCAGTCTGATCCAATGGTGCATTTCTAATTATCTCACGAGTGGTCTAAATGGCACTAACAGAACATCCCTGAAATCTGGTGCTTCACTGCTCTTTAACTTATCAGATACTTGGCAGATCTACTGCTTGCCCTCCAAACTCTAACAACCTACTGCCATCAGCAGAGCTATACCCATATCTTACCACTAACTTTTTCTTATTAGTAATCCTCCTTGTTGGTATCATGGACTATTCAGCCAAAACAGACCATCATAACCCTTCGTGTTTGTATGGTGCATGGCACACAAAACCTTGCACTGTGCGGAGGATTCCTACACACCATGAAATGCTACTGCAACTAGTGCAATTGTTCAGATCAGAGATTCAAAGATGTTTCTGCAGAAGCAGTCTGTCCTATCTGTAACTCAGACGTTAGATCGATACTACACACATACACACACACACACCAATCTGTAAGCCAGCATTTCTTGGAAATGCAAGTGCCAACTAATGCCAAAGATGAAATGCTTGATATCAATATGAGAAACAAACCAGAACATAAGCATATAATTTAGAAATACAACAGTAATTTCTTATCCATACTTTCAAATTCTGTATCTTCCCAGACAATGATGAATGAATTCCCATATGCTGAAAGAGAGATGGTTTAGCACGGATACGTATCTTTGCCTTTTCCTTTTCACAATGTGCCTGGAAAGAAAGAAAAAAGGGTGAAATTTTATTTAAATAAAGGAGATGAAAACGAATCAGGTGATTTCATTATGTCATTGAGGGTATGGGTCAGGTTTTTAACCCATATTTACATGAGTAATCCTTAGATTAACAGACACCTTATTTCACATACAGTTTCCAGACAAAAGCTCATAATTCCATTCATGGTGCTATGTAGACTTTCAGGCTCAACCACTACCAAGTCAGGGATTTCTGTGCTGTGCCCATCATCAATCGCATTTGGAACAACAAAAATGCACTTCAGATCTGAAAGTGAATTTTTTGTGTGTATGCTTTGTGGTTTTTTTTTTTGTTTGTTTGTTTTTTTCCCCCCGTTTCTGTCAAATTTAATTTCAAGTTTTGGCCTTGCCATATCATTCTATTTTGACCAAAACTCGCTGTCTTGAGATAGGAGTGTAACCAGAATCCATCTTTATCATTTGGCTCTTTCTGCTATATTTGAGAAAGTTATAATGTAATATACAGGACGGTTCTTCACAGAGAGGGTGGTTGCACACTGGAACAGGCTCCCCAGGGAAGTGGTCACTGCACCGAGCCTGATTGAATTTAAGAAGAGATTGGACTGTGCACTTAGTCACATGGTCTGAACTTTTGGGTAGACCTGTGCGGTGTCAAGAGTTGGACTTGATGATCCTTAAGGGTCCCTTCCAACTCAGGATATTCTATGATTCTATGATATTATATGTTACATATATTGTACCCTAAAACTAAGTAAATCCCCTAGATACTGTATTTATATCCCCATTTTCTGGTTTATATACACTTTGTGACATTATATATACACCAAAGAATTAAATAACTATACTTGGTACTAATTTGGGGGTTTCCTTCTTTTTGTATGATAGCAAATAATTTCTTCAAATGCAATTTTTGCTCTATATGCATAGAGCATCAATGTTAGATACAATGAAGCAAACACACTACAATATTATACTATATTGTCTTATTCACATAAAACATAATGTGAATTATGTTTTATGTGAATAAGACATATTATAAGACATAATGACATAATTATAAGACATAATGAGGCATAATGGCACAGAAGAGTGCAGAGTAAAAATTAGACTCCCTGAGACTCTTGGTTCTGCCACAGAATAATTGCATGAGTTTGGAAGATAGTTTAACCTCTTATATCACAGGTTTCACATCTTTAGATTTTAGAGGGTAACGTGTTTATGTCTTCAATAACACACTTCCAGTTCTATAAAGAAAAATGTTACATAACTATATCAACGCCTTCTAAAGCTAGAAGTGATAATCTTCACTCAGCTGGCTTAAATAGCAAAATTCATAGGGGATTTATGGTTCTCACAGAAGCGCTAACTAAAAGTACAAAACCACCTGGAAGAAGGATCTCAGCAGAACTAAGTATTTTTATATTTGTCCACAGCAGATGTTCAGCAAAACAATATAAGAACATAACACATGAAAATTGACTTACTGGCAGCTTTTTCTTTGGAAAAAGTGCTGTATATCTGCTATGAAAAAAAAATGTAGTCTTTCTCCTGACTGGGTTGCCGGTTCATCCTCTAAAATAATGTAGTCTCTAATACATCTCTTTTCATGCCACGGCAGCACACTTAGTACAACGGGATGACCCATTGTAGTCACTTGTACAGAAAATGAAACAAGGCTCCTGGATGAGCCACGGCTCTCATCTTTGCAGCCCGCTAGTCCCTGCGCTCCACTGGGTAGAGATATGCCACTGCTAGTCAAACTGGCAGATGATTGTTCACAGGAGGTACACATGATAAAGTTGTTGAACTACACAGAGATCTGAGGAATCATCTTTCAACTTGGTGGACAGAAGTGGCTGGATCTTGAGATGTGAATACTCAGTCCAGGCTGAAAACGTGCCAGACACCCATCATCATGGAACGGCACATAAAAGCCACGAACAGGTACCCACTGACTCTCCCATGAGGCATATTGTGCAATCACTCTGTGACACGCTCAGTTGCTTGGAAGAGGGAAAGCACGAGGACCTCTGTCATCTCACCTTTCTATAGGAAACCCCAGCTTTCAAATCATTTATTTAATCTATACGGGAAGAAGATCATCAGCGATCCTTGTCCTTCTCGCAGCCCCTGTTTTCTGTACCCTTACGAGCAGCTCTAGTAGGTTTCTGTCCCTGGTCATTCTTTCCCAGTGAAAAACACAAGGCTGGCTTGAATCAATGTTTGTTTACTACCCACAGCAATTGAAATTGCAATTGCAGAAGTGAAACTCACTAGAAACTTGCTGGTACCAGTCCGCTTTGGTTTGGCCAGGGCAGGCTCGCGCAATCCACCTGCCTGCCTTTCAGGAACACCACATTGTTTTAGATATGATTCAGATATGATTTATATATGAAATAAACTAGTACAGTCATTTAAAAATGAAAGTAGAATGTTTAATATACAGGAGTTGAGGTTGGCACACGTGAGACAGATCTGGAAGGGGTGATATTAACTTTTGTTTTTTAAAGTTATTGCAGGTGGGCAAGAGCATAAAATAGAGGTACTTATGGATCACTAACTCCTATAAACCAGCCTCAGAAAAGTATAATTTCAAAGCTTAATCCTATCTGCATGAATTGGGAATGGAGACTCTTCAGTGGTGTTACGGAAGTGTAAAACCAGGCAACTTCTGCGGTCCCCAGGAGTTACCTCCACTACACATTTGTAGCAGAGGAGGCCCCTTTTGTTCAACTCTCCTCACTCTCCTGCTCTGCAGAACTCCTATCTGTCTCCTCCTCCTTATCAACACAAAAATAACACACATGCAAACAACTGGTGTGGGAACTCACTACGCTAATCAAAAAAAACCCTCTTGAACCTTAAAAAACGAGGAGAGAAACTCTGGTAGTTCCTCTGTGGCACAGCCTGTTATACAGCAAGACTGAGTAGTGACCATCACCAAAAGCTAGTTAAAGAAGTCAAAGGGATATAAAGTAATCCTTAACATGTCAACATGTCATAGGGTTCACCTACAATGCTACAAATGTGCTTGTTTTTGTTTGTTTGTTTTTACAATTCAACACAAGCCTCTCTTTCATTTTCAGTGAAAAGTATCATTTCATCCTTTCAGTCTACGAATTTCCCTCTTTTCTTTCTTAAGCAAAGAATCGAGTTTTTTTTTCCCAGGCAGTAAATGATTTAAAACAAAACAAAAGTTCTGCTTCCTGAAAGAAAGGAAATGATATGTAAAATTCATAACTGTGATCTTAAGATTGTATGCTTTACAAGCTTTCATATTAGAAGGTCAGTAAAAGGTTATGAGAAGTGCCAGTCCCATACAGGTTTATATATTCAAAATTTTCTTTGATGCTTCAGGATTGCATAAAATGACTAGTTGCAGGAAGATGAGCACTTGCACTTGACCTTGTTCTGAGCTAACAGATGTAAAACAGCTCTGATGTGGAAACTTGAATTTCTGTGAGTCAGATCTCTCCATACGTCCCAGTGGGTTCCAACAAAGTTACACACTATGAAGGTCTATATCAGCTCTTGAGTCATCTGAGAGATTTTGATTCCACTTTTTCAAAATGTTGTGGGGTTTCTTTTTGGTCACAGAGACTGCTTGAATGTTATTTGTATTCATAAATTCATAGACATACTTACTGCATCTTTTTCTGGATTGCACACTTTGACCCAGAGCAGGTGGTCCAGAAGCCAGTCTATGGGCTTATCTTCATAGAACATGAGAAAAAATTCCACTATGAGTGGCAAGTCTTCTGATTTAAACAGTTTTCCTGAAAGCAAGACAAGAAGGTGCATATTCAAATATGTTTATTGCTGCACAGTAAGCACCATTTTATCTTTATTTCAGCCTTAAATACACAGATGCAATTCTGATATTTAGTGGAAATTTTACATAGACTCCAGCTTTGGTCCTTAGTTGCTTGTTCTCCAACTTGCTGTAATTTTGAAAAGATTTCCATCCCATACTTGGAGATATTCTCACACAGTCAACCAGCTGAGTAATCAAGCATGCAATTATGTCCTAGTTCAAACACAAGTCTGCCCATCACTTGTATCAGTGCGTCAGATTAAACAAAGTCTGAACAATCTCTCAAAATGCTAAGCATACAGTTTCAATGGTAATAGTACACTGAATATATTTAAGTTAAGACCTAGATATAAAATACTTTGCCTTTAAAACACTATCACTATTAATTTAGTTCTCTTGCTATTTTTATTAGCAGATCTTGTTAGATTTTTTGTTTAACTTAACACATATAAGGTGTTATCACAAATCAATATCACGTGTAAATTGCGTTATAACCTAAGAAAAAATATAATAGGAAACTATTATAAAAATAGTAAAAATAAATAAATAAATGTGTATATATATATATATATATATACACACACACACTACCAATATGGGATGCATGTTCTCCAGAAAAGAAAGGAAACATTTTATAAACTGTGCAAATTCTACTCTTGAAAGGAAGGCTACGTGTTGCAGGAGCATGTAGTACCTTGATGTGGAACAATTTGCTTCTTATGGGAACTCAACTATAGATCCTATATTCTGTTAAAAAGACAGTGCCAAAGAGCACAGAAAGTAAAGGGCTTGCAGTGGGAGTTTTGCTGAAGAGCCAGGGAAGTTTTGATATGCAAGTCCTTCCATGTATGAACTGTAATTCTGAATGAGACCTACTCTACTTACATAGCTCCAAATCAACTGACCCTCCTGAGGCCTTAGTACTTACCAATAAATCCAAGCTGGGAAAACTCAAGAATCATCCACTCTTGGGACTGTTCAGCCGCAAACTTTTTTATACTTTGAATATAATCAGGTTTGGCTATAATATCATCTTCCAACTGGGAAAAACAACAACAACAAAAGGCAGGTGGTGGCTTTGCTTGCAGAAGAGGTGGCGATGTTGCTACATGAGTGATAACCGCACTGTGCATGACTGCTGCACAGTTTGTACTGAAGCTGTGCCAAACTACAGTGGATTGCTATTTAGCTTCTACATATCTCTCTGTTCCAGTATCATTCGTTAAATATTTATTTACAGGATTGACTACAACACCATGAGTGCTTCTCATTTTTTCTCCCTACCTTACAGGGCTTACCACATACAAGAAAACTTTAAGCGAAAAGACAGAGGTTAAGGAAGATGATAGACAGTTTGTACTGAAGTTGTATAAGCACTGATAAGCAGCAGGAGCTAATTCTTCGGAAAGAAAGGCGCCTAAAGCAGATGGTCAGAGGCTCTGCAGATTAGCCTGGGCAGACTCTATCGTACCTAAAACGTGACAGAGGAGAAGAACTGGGGATGAGAGGGGCTAGTGGATAGCAAGATGTTTCAGGGAATACTAGTCATGGAAGAAGAAACACGCTGTGAAACACTGAAGAAGAGAAATACATAGAGCTCAACACATTGTAAAGGCTGAAACCAAACACGACAGTAAAGCCAACTAAAGGACAGTCAGAGAAGGAGAGTGATATCCATCAAGGAAATGGGAAAGGACTTGGCAGCGTTTTTGCACAGTTTTCAGAGAAGAATGGGGGATATGAAAAGCCAGAAGCTATGCCAGTTACCAACGCTGTGGATAACGATTCCAAACAAGGAGTTTAAAGTCAATCACACAAATAAACAGATTCCAGAACTAAGGAGCAAGTAGTACAGGGTTTGAATTTGGTATGGAGGTGAAAAATGCAGGAAGAGGAGTCTAAGCCTTCAGAAAATGTTGTTGGGGTACAGTGAAACAATACAGTTAATTTGATCTAACCGCTGTACTTTATTGGCCCTGGTGCTTGTCTGATGGCATTGGAATCTAGGTCAGGGAGCTAAATAGGTAGAAAACAAATGCTATGGGGAAAAAATGCATGGTTTCCTGCAAGTTTTACACCCTCAACAGATTCAGTGCAGTGTCAGCAAGAGCAGTTTGAGGGAGCAGGCCTACAGCTTTTAGCCGAATTTGGCCATTACAAGCATGTAAGTGTAAGGCTGGTGGGGGAGAAGTGTCAACACTGAAACAAGGAGGAAGTAGAACAAAATTCAAAGACATGATTAAGAGATTTGTTAGCTTGCTGACAGCAGCTTGCTGACGGTAAGATATCAAAAAACGGAGATGAACTGATATCAAGATGAACTGTTCTTACCAGACTCTGAGATCTGAGGCTTGAGTTGAGAAGACAGTTAAGCAGAAGAGAACAGCAAAACAAACAAACAAACAAAAAAAACAACAACTTGCAAGAAGTGTTGCATAGAATTATATGAGCTAAGAGGATTATCCAGGGGCTACATGTAAAGGGAGAAGGTAAAGAATCAGGAAGAGATTCAGAGAACCCTCAGAGAAGTTGAGGGGACACCCAAAGAAGGAGGAAAAGTAGAGCGCGCAGTATCTTAAACATTTGGTGAAACTACTGTACAAAGAAACACTAAAAGAAAGCATACAAAGGTTCCAGGGATGACAAACATATAGGTTCTGACGGCTGCGAGCGTGGCTCTGAACTGCACGTAGTTTTGACTAAGAAGTCTGAAATGGTCTCTTCTGGAGCAGACAAATGCAACAAGGCCATGCAAAGTAATTTAATGAGCCCTGTGCTGAGCCTCATGATTTGCATTCAGCTAAAGCATATCTTCTTGAAGAACATTTGCCATCGCTTGGGGATTTCAGTATCGGGTATTTTTCAGTAAGTTACACTGTGTGCAGCTACCATTAACATTCAATACACTGTACCCACTTGGAATTTTTCTGGTTTCAGCTTACAGCCACTTGTTCTTTATATGCTCTTATCTGCTAAAGGAAGTTATGCAGTGGCTGTGCACAGCTTGCTCAGGAAATTTATGATAAGAACTGTCTAGTCCATTAGCCCCATTGCCTTCTAAAGACCAGCAGAACATGTGGCCACAGCTAATTTCCCTTTACTCATCAGTGCTTTTTCATGAAAAAAAGATACATACACAATAGCAAGCCGTGTCAGTTTCCTAAAAGACAGACAACTAATGTCTTTCTTTTTCTCTCTCTCTTTTTTTTTTTTTTTTGGTGTGTGTACTATCTCCATAGAGAAGGCAGAATAAAGAAGTGACAAAAAAGTGGTAGCACACAGTGGAAGTGCAGGCATCAGACAGGAACACATCTTCCTTTCTAAACTATACTAGTGTATTTTTCTGTTTTGAATCAGTGTTCGACAAATCTGTGAATGAAAAATCTTATTCTCTCATTTTCCACAGACAACAAACCTCTACTAGCTCATTCCATTAAAATCCTTTTTATTTTTCGTCGTATATAAAGAATTTTTCAGATAAAAATGCACTTTCATGAAAGTTATTCCTTCTAGAGTTCTACTAAATAGAAGGCTTAACTTACAGTCTACTGGGAAAAACATATCAATAAAAAGAGTCCTAATGACTTAATTGAGCTTTTGCTCAGGCCTTAAAACCACTAGAGAGAGACACAAAAAATGACAATAAAGGTGAAGAGATGCAGCAATAACTATCGCCAAACCATTACAACCCAGGCTTTACTCCAAATGACATACTTCAGTCCTTATATGATGTCCCAGGTAAGAAAACACGCATTCATTTTTATTTATTATTTTTTTTTAAAGGAATTTGAGAATACAGGGGTCATTTCCAGGCAAATATGAATGCTTAGAAACTTCATAATTCTACAACATCGGTAACAGAAAGAGATAATATGTGTCTGCCAGCAGGCTTAACATTTGTCTTCACCATGTTGCCTAGGCATTAATATGCTAGGCGCACTTACTAAACCTGGGTAGGGTTCTTAAATATACAAAAATCCCAGGAAAATACCTTATCTTCTAGTAACTCTCATGTGTTTAGCAGACAACATCTCTCTTTGTTTTTTGTCTCTTTGTCTTCTTAGTACCTGTACCTAATTTGAAAGTGGACCACAGACTCTCGAGTAGCCCAGCCCAAATGTGCTTTTGCTAACTTCTGAAAAGAATTGTACAAGATTCCTGCTCTTGCGGTTTCCTCTTCTGCTTCTGGGAATCTTGTGAAGTACCTATGTGATACAGAGCCTGAGGACTGTTTGAGCTGCAGAAGACTCAGGAAAAAATTAAGCACTAAGCAAAATGCTGTTCTGAGCTTTTTAAAAACTGCTGACATTCATGAGCTATGAGAAATGGTACGGATCTGTTCTATTATTAAACAATCATGATAATTTTTGAAAATTCTGATGAAAGAAAAATTCCATATTCTGATTCAAATTTCATCTCAGTTCAGGAGAAAAAAAAAAACTTAACATTGTCAGATTTCTGCACCAGGTCCCTTCTGGTTTAAATTATACTGAAACCAAACCAGAAATTTCTTTACCTGATTTTCTTGAAAATGAGTTGAAAACTCACTTCCCAGAATTGCCACTGTTCCTTTTATCACATGGGTTCTACAAAGCTGCCCAAGTCACAATAGTGTTCTGAAACTTCATCATTATGGAGTGCAAATTATAACAAATCTAGAACGATGGCTAAATCTAACCCTGAATGCTTGGGGATCTTCTTAAAATCTTAAATCATCTGGAGAATTTAGGATCTGTACCAATTTGCAGTATATCCTTGACTCCAGTGTCACTATACTGGTACATTTCCCTATCTGGAAAAGTTCTTTATGGTATTTTGCTTCATGACGATCCGGGCTATAGCATGGACCTACCATCACTATCCTGTCTTTATGCACCAAGTGAAAACACGTTGACCTCTGACTCGCTTAACCTAAAGAAATAAGGGTTTAATGCTTCAATTACCTTTGGCATCACAAATGTCAGGAAGGAACGTGGATAGATTTATTCAAATACCTAGCTGCAAGATGTATATAAACACAGAAATAGTATGGGTGCTTGTAAAGAGTACAGGCAAAATACATGGAAAATGGTATTTTTTTTTCTTTTGAGGCCTTAGGAACAAATTAAAATTGCCAAAGCTAATAAGCAGTACAGATGTATTGCAGCAAGTTAATGATAATGTGAACATACCTGTAAATAAAATGTTCCCTTAGGTTGGGCATATAGCATTAAAAAGCTATAATCCAAATTCTGTTTCGTTCTCCACCTAAATATAAGCAGCAAATTCTGAAAATCTTCTTTGGTGGATTCCAAGAGTTATTTGTATAATAAAAACATTAGAATAGTAAAATCATAAGGTTGAGTATTCTAACTCCTTGTTAAGAGAAAAAAATGAAGAGGTACTCAAGTGGTATTTTTGATCTAAAATTTCCTCTGTAATCAGTGTAAACATTAGTAAATAATTTGACTTTCCCATAAAAGTTAATGTTAACTAAGCAAGACATTCCAATCTGTATCAACTCTACTGAAATAAAATGTTTAATAAGCATATTCATGTCAAATTATTAAGAGTCTACTCACTATATTATGAACAGTAGAAACTAATACACAATGATTATTTAAAGGTGATTCACAACATTATAAAGCTGAATGTTTTTACCGATCAACAACACAGAAACTAGTTGATACACTTCATTTTTTCATTTAAATGTAAGCACAGATTTTTCTCTATGAAGTACAAATCTCATTTTACCAAAGGATGAAGGTGACATTTAATACTCAATGCTAAAGACTTGAGATAGTTATTTATACATAAAACAATTATTTTTAATTTGTTTTAATGTTATATAAAACAATTAACGTAAGATTGTATTCACAATGTATCTGATTAAAATCAAATCATACCTTAAGTATACAGTATGTATGCATGTTTATGCTCTAGAAGGTACAGGGCTTATCTATAAATTATACGTGCATAAATACACTTGCTGATTTCACTTCAGCTTCCTTGATGGCACTGTTTGTGTAGCTCCCAGAGACATTTTTTCTTCTGATAAATTACAGTTATTGTTGGTCAAAATATTTTTTTTTTCCTCCAATAAATTTATTTTCCTCCAATAATCAACTCTGTTAAGGTATAACCTGTCTTTGTGAATTTGGATGAAATCACCAGAAGTTAGGATATACCATCTACAGTACTATGACATGTCCATAATCACCACGAGTTAGGTCATTAAACCCACATTAGTTGACGAGTTAGTTAAGGAGACACATAGGGCTTCCTTTGTGTGTTCTTAAAGCTTCTCCCTTATCTGTTCGGTAAAATAGTTTCCTATTTTTCCTTTCTCACCAGATCATCTAGTCTATCATCTCTACACATTATCCATCTTCTTTAAAACCTGTGAGATGCCCAGAGACAACTTGAAGCTGATGTGCAGCACCTTTCTCAAGAGCTCCTTGCATAATAGTTATAAATAAATAAATAAATAAGAGTGCACTTGAAGTCCATTAGCTCTGAAATGCAAAGATCATTATCACCTCAAACAACATTAACTTCCACAGCATTCTCCATTTTTATACTATTAGAAAAGAATTCTTAGGTTTTATGCAGCCATCTTACCTTACTCTGTCCTCCGAATCTCCTAATGTTTTCCTCAGATTGGAAAAATCTGGATAATAAGAAGCAGGAGGAGAAATGATCTCTAGGACACCAGACTGGATTTCTTTGGGGAAACTGTGAAGAAAAGTTTAGTGAGACCCCATTCCTCAAAAAAGATGTTTGACTGCAACCACAGACAGCAGCTCCCAAAAATTAGGTCTGTTCTTCCAGAAGCAGAATTTACAACTAGAAAATAACATTTTCACATGTATTGCCAATTAGGGACATTTGGAACCAAGAAGGGATCCCTGACAAGCATCAGAACAGGCAAGACAGTGACTCATACAAGTCACAGAAAAACTAGAGAAGTGAATCAGAAATTCTGCCAAAGTACAGCAGTAATTCATGAAAGCAAACCCACTATCTAGAATTATACGCAACTGCGTGAGAGCCACCATGTTCTTTCCTCTTTCTCTAACTCTAATTCTACCTTCCAGCCAAAATGATGCTGTTTTGGAACAAGGGGGATTGGTATATGGAGTCTGTGTCTCAGCTCCAAATCGTACATTTTCCATTTTATAAGTAATTGAAAAAACACGTAATTTGGGGAGCCAGACCTGGAAATCAAGTATACCTTACCTTTATAATATGATAAAAACCAAATAGTTTTTAATTGTTATAGGATCACTGAAATAAGGAGTTCTCAGAACTGAGTACCCCATTCTCTGTAATTAATTAAAAAAGGCTAACATTAAAAAATAAGTGCATTACAGTACAAGCATGTTTATGAAAAGCAGTCTCAATCTTACCATATAACACTGACAAAGTGTTAAACAACACTTTGCAAAACTATTTTTAATAACCACAAGGACAGCATAAAATGATGCAAGTGCTGAAGTTGTTGTACATATCTTACTTTGTGGTCCTAAACAGTACTGAGGAGGACTGCATCTTGATCTTGTCCAAATTGCAGTACTCCTAGCTGAGCTAAACAGTCTGGAGGGAGGAAGCTAATGATACTACTTAGCCAGTAGGCTCAGCTTGGGGAGAAAACTATACAGTCAATGCAGTCTGGGAAACCTGGGTGGAGCAGGAGGAGCAAAACCCCCAAAATGAAGGAAAAGGCAACCCCTCTGGGGAGCTTGTTCAACTGTTTGCTTTCTTGTTAGTATTCTAAGAAAGCACTGTTAGATTGAGAGCACTGATGCAGTCATTTTAAAGGACAGAGGGGAAAAGGCTGTTTAACTTCAAATGCTGGCCAACTTGGGGCTCTGTCAGAGTAACTAACTCACAAAGCAGCTTGAGCACCACAGAAACTAGCAACGTGAGCGCTGCAACACAATGCAGATATTATCTTGCTTTCTATCACTCAACTGTGCTTCAGGGCCTTAGCCTTATCTGTTTTGTGACTGTTAGCTACACTGTGCCATTTCTTAGAAAGCAGCTTTCATAAGATCAAATGAATCCACCAACAAATGTATTCTTTTACCTCAGCACTTTAATTTAGTAGTGTTCTTCTCAAAGTACTTTAAGGGTTTTCACATGTTGTAAATATCTATGTGAAAGAATGGTAAGAGCAAGCAAAACTGCATCGGGATCCAAACCTTCATTTGATAACTGACATTAATTTTGCATGGCAAAGAATATCCATCTTGTGTTACCCATCATTTAATAGTGTTACACATTCATTATAATCTGCCCAAAGTCTGCTTCCTTCATGAAAAAGAGGCAAACAAGGAAAAAAAGAACACACGGAAAACATGATAAACATCAGAATACATTGTAGGGCTGTGAAGTCAGAAGAGACCTAATACACGGATGTAGCCCCAGGTGCTTTACATTGCATCATTAATTTCACAGGGAAAAGACTTAGGTTCAAGAAAATATTTATCAGATGCTTAAGCTGAAACCTCCTCTGATTAGCTAAAGCATATTTATGAAAAGAAAAAGGAAAATAAACTTATATATATAGTTGAGTTCTGAATCCTTGTGTTCACACATACTAAGAGAGCACCTCTGCCTCATTTCTTAGCATTTCCATTTCAGTGTGGTGGAGTTGTAATTTATTGCTGAAATGCTCTAATTCTTTCCATAAAAGCTCAAAAGGTGTTTATTAGCTTTTGAAAGTTACACTGTATAGGACTTACCTGCTTTTAACACTTTCTGCAACACTGTTAACGTATTCTTCATTGACCTAAAGAAAAGAAGCGAGTTTTCAAGTCACCCATGTCTGTATTAAGCATTAAGCAACATTTTGTAGGAAATATTTACATGCAAATACTTCATTTTTATTTTCTAATTCATTTCATTCCAGGCAAGAGCAATATGTTACAGTAGCATTTCTATTACAGGACAGTATGGCATTTTGCTTTTTTATTACCTCTGCAGGTGGCCAAGCCATTTTCTGCATAAACTATTCTACAGCTTTCACTTATGCCAGAAAAGCACAGTTGTATAATTGTAACTAAAATGAACTGTTTTGGGTTAATCATCCAAAAAGTCACAAAAGAGGCCTGTGACTGTAGACAAAAGCCACCTAAGCGAAATTTTCGAAAGCTAACAATACCTAAAACATTTACAGAGAGTTTCTTCCTAAGGTAACAAACCTAGGACTCCTAGTCTGGGAGGACATACTCATTGCTCATGTTTCATAAATTTAATGATTTTAATGTGGAAAACACTTCTGTTAACAACATTAAGCAATTATGAGTTTAATGGATGTGTGATTTCCAGAGCAATATAATACCTGTCTTGGAAATTAAGATTTATTTTTATTTTTTTTTTAAACACACAAGTAATCATTACCAATTATACAATAAAATTGTAATATATTTATATATATGTATAAAAGTGATGTGACACGTAAAGAACTGTGGCAAGAAAAAATACCAGAAACTTTGTTAATCACTTCCAGACAATAAATTACTCTGACTTAACTCATAATGTAAACAATTACCTTAATCTTCTAAAGCTTTGCGGGAGAAAGAAAGGTGTCCTATCATGATCAATGAACACGCCTGCACTTTTCCCATAACTATGTGTTCTTATCACTTCCCATATCAGCACAATCATCCTGTTCTAATTTTACTGCCTGGCTGAAAAATGAAGGCTGCATGAACGTGATTTTGAGGATGATAGAAAGGGCAGAGACATTCTTACAGCAGCATTTTAATCCTGAATTGGCTGAATTGGACTGCTAATAAAACTTAGGCTGTTTGTTAAAAGTGCAGTTTATAACTGTCCACAGTGGGAAACTGTACAAATTCAGAAGTTAACCTCCAGTCAAAGAACTCTCTAAAGGACTGTAATAGAAGGTTTATCCAAATGGCAGGTAGGCAAAGCTCACAGTGCCAGGACTCTTCACTAGGAAATAAACAACGATAATGTAAGTTCATCTTCTGAAAATTACACTTAGGAGGAAACAGAGACGGTAAAATCAGACCTAATTATCATGTTATCCAAACAGAAACCTGAAAGTCATGACCGAATTTATTAAAGTGAACTACGGTCTGTTTGATAGTGTTAGAATTGCAAAAGTTGTTTTAAGTAGTGATTCAACTAAAAAAGCAAGCTTTAACTCCTAATAAATATCTTCATATTTTCACTAAGAATATATTCATTAAGTATACATTCAATTCATTGGTGAAATTTAATGCTGTTTATGGAAGCACAAAGAAATAACAAAGAATAAACATGAGTTTTAAATACTTGCACAGTCTTTCACCTGCAAGTAAGTATGAACAGCTAATTCTCTTCTGTAGCTTTTTCCAATGCGCTCAAGACATTTTTGAATTTAATTTCAAATTTAATTTAAAATTTAATTTAAAAATGGAGGAAAATTTAATTTACCTCTAATATTCTACCTTGAGAAACGTTTACTTTTCCAAACATGGAATATTCATATTTCTGAATGATTTAAAATGATTTTCTTTTTCACAAGAGTCTCCAATATGTCAAGGTACTTTGCAAGATATATGATTTCAAAATGGCAGATAAACAATCCATATTTTTGTTAGACAGAATAAGTTTACTTTTTTCAGAGTCTATGAAACTTTTCTGTGAAGGACTTACTTTTCATTCTTTCAGTAGAGCACAACTTTCAGAAATAGTAAGTTCATATGATTTTATATCAAAATCTGACTGCAACAACTGTATTTATATACGTAATATGACTTTCCCTCCCCCCTTCAGCCATCTGAGTTGCACAGTTTTCTCCACATACAAAGACCAAGACATTAAGTGGTGTCTCCTCCAGCACTGAAGAAACCCCTCACAAAGGCCTGGTATACTGCAGCATCTCCTACAATATTATACTAAGACATGAATTTCCATGTTGTATTTCTACTAGTATGCTTTCCCTCTCTACAAAAACTTACCTCTGCTACAAAGATGATTATTACACAGTCATTCTTTTGCTCTTCAGAAAGTTCATAGAACAAGGAATGCAGTGTGGTCATCAGGTAACTTTGTTTTTCCCTTTTCACAGTAGGAATACCCATCACCAGTGAGACTGCAAAGAAAGAAAAGAAAAGCCACATCGTCTTAAGTCAGGTAAAGGGAAACTTTAATTCCATTTTAATTTTGATTTGACATGACTGGAAACATCTGAATGGGACTATCACATTAGAAAATAATTGCTACCATGAACATTCATTAATTAGTTCACTTGGTGACAGTTAATATTCCTATAAGGATACAGAAAAATTAGTCAGCATATTCCCATATTCTGACTATGACAGCATTTGACTTACTACCTGGAAGATATTCAGGCAGATTTAGGTTACAGATACCTGTGTCTGTGTTACAAGCACCAGTCTACACTAGGTAGATGGTAAATATCTGGGAACTCAGATATTACTTCTGGTAAACACAGATGTATCTGCTACTGAGTTTCAGAAGTGGGTATTGCAAAACAAATACTAGCTCTTGGTATGGAGTTGGAGATTTAAGAGTATTAAGAGTTAAAACAATGCTGCTGAAGTGAGGAAGTTCTCACAGGACAAGAGTGCAGAGTATCTCAGAAAGGAATCTAACTCAAAAATCCTTCTGAGCAGTTAAACTGACAGGAACCAATGGCTTTAACACAGTCAATAAGAACAAAGAAATGCGTGCATAATCAGTATTAAGAAGAAAGGAAATTAAATTGACTCTGGCAAAGACAGTGCTACTGTTAATATCATTAGCTGGTAAGCAGGACCATTCTTTTTTCATTGGAGAGGGCATTACTGAATTCAGTGACCACATATGGCTCAAAAAACCTATGCGATACTTAGTCCTTACAGACTATTCCCATTCACAACAAGCTTAGGAGGCTGGTAAGGAAGCAAAAGGTTTTGAAGAATAGGTGCAGTTAGTGACTTGCTCCAGACTTTATCATCAGTGCCAGTGTCAACTCGAAAATACAGAAGTTCCAATGTTCTTTTCCAGCACGTAACTTGCTAAACCACTGGGGTTTTTTTTGTTCTTACACGCTGAAGGTCAACCTGTACTTTCTAAAGCGTGGTCTTGCTATTGTGATTTTCATTTACCAATACATTACAAATTAAACATGGTGTGTTCTTTCAGTACTTATTACTTTTCTTCCAACTTTTTTTTTTTTTTGCTTGCTTACCTGTGCATCTGGACCCTCCCAACCCAACTTTGAATATGCTAGAACTTAATACAATATAAAAACATGCATTAAATATAAATTGAATTTTATTTCCTACCTCCAGTTCTCTGCTGCCCAACAATAACATTTGGAAAAATGGCATCTTCATATTCTCGAAGATGAGGTAGGTAGTAGTACATGTTTGTAAGGTGCAGAGGAAGTTTTCTGGTGAGGTTTAATACTTTCTCATCATCTTAAAGAAACATAAAATAAGAGGCTGTTAGCCATTACTTTACCTATTTTAACTAGCTATTACTATAGCTGTTTTCCTCAATTCAATATTAGCAGATTACCACAGACAAGGTTATTCAATCAGAACCATTCATCAAAAATGACTATATGCCACATAGTTCATAACGATTAATAATTACCCTGCCTGGTGGTCAAGTCTTGTTTCAGTCTAATGCCACTGTCCTAGTTTCTCCTGTCTGTCTCAGAAATGGGCCTGACAAGATCTCACAGGAGAGTTTACAGTAATGCTGCAGCACGTATGTGCTGCAGTCAGCCTGAGCCCCTCCTGTGGAAGATAAACTGAGGATGGCACAGTACGAACCCACCACACAGGAGATCATGCAAAGCTCCATGCCAGAATGTCCTGGGAGCTCCGCCTGCATTTCTCTGTGCCTAAACAGTTGCAGAACTGGGCCATCTTAAAATCAAGTGAACAGTTATTTTAAAAGCAGTGGGGAAATAAAAAAAATAAATCCAATTTTTGCACAAGTTGTTTACAGAAATTTTAAACAAATATATATTCTAATTAATAACTTTCTTAATTGTTTAAGAAAGTTAAGTGCTTTCCACAGAATTTAATGCACAGTGGTTTTCAGAGTTCAATCAGAAGTTCCCAGGTTATAAAAAGTCCTATGGTAAAAGAGACAACAAGATTCAGGCCTTTAAAAAAAAAAAAAAATCAAAACAAAAACAAAAACAAAAAAACAACGTGGGAAACAAAAGACTGTTTAGCTTGGAGAAAAATAAGGAATATTTATTTTGCTTCACTAGAGTAAACTGAAGGTGAAAATAATTAGTTTATTCATGCTGAAATAACTGAAGTGTGACCTTATAAAAGTAATATATCTATTTTTTAAAAAGCCATATGAAAACCAGACACCAATCATTTACTAGTTTCTCTTCCTTGATATACACATTCCCAGTGTTCCAGTAGTAGTGAAAATTCTTTAAAATAAATTTACTGAAAGCTTGAACAACTTGATTCTTTAATCAATAAAAATTCAATTATAAAATTATATATTCAATTTCAAAAAGCAAAAAACATAATGTAAGATACCCATAGAATCAGAAAAGATGTGCACAAGTCAATTAAAAAAAAATAATTGAATGGATTAAAATGAAGACTACATTTCATTGTAGGAAGAATAAAAAATGGCCTTTCTTATCTTTAAGTAAACTTCCTGGAAACAGAACCGAAGGTCACTCCAGGCTTTATTCTACCAGTTGCCTTAAGGCTGAAATCTCTCTTTCATGACATATGGCTCCCACACTAGGATTCTGGCAGTCATTCTCTGCTACTGACTTTACTAGCTACCTACAACATGCATGAAAATACAGAAAAACTGAAAGAAAATACAGCTCCTATGAATTTATCTAGGGAGTCATTCCTACTTCAGTGGTTGCCTCCTCCAGATACTATCAGTTGTGCAAAGAGGCTGGCGCACTACATGGTATCAGAACAACACCTCAATTAGTTTCAGCCAACAAAATTGTGTTAACAGCCTTTCAGGGTGGTTTGTCATTAAATGTACTCGAATTTTGCTGCACAGAGGCATTTTTCCCCCCATTTAAACACCTTTGCAACTTTCTAGGGACTTCAATTCTTATTAGAAAGTAGTATCTATCAAGGGCTGGGCTTTATTGTGGAGGACTTTGCCTTTAACGCATACAATAGAAGTATACAAAATAAATTAAATAAAAAGAAAAAACATTAAGCGATTTTAACAAATTTCTGCTTTGAACCCTATGAAGCAAAAACTTAAACATTTCCTCACATTCAGCTGTTTTCAGTAAGGGTAAAAAGCAGAGAGGAAAGACTTGCATTCTCCTTCCTCTGCTGCTATTGTACATTAGGCAATAACTCTTCGTCTACAGCATGCGACACTACTGGTGGCTGACAACGCACTCTCCAGTCTAACACTTAGAAGGCCTACCCCACAGTTAAACATTTGCTTGTACGTATCTGAACAGTCCCACTGAATACTGAATAAACAAAGAGAGGCAGGGAAGACCAGGATTAAAAAAAAAAAAAGAAAAGCTAACTACCCCAAACCAGAATGCACCTTGTTGTTTTTTTTTCCCTCTCCAACAGTCCTGGTTAATTCTCTATTCTAATCAGATACCACCCTGCTGTACTGAATGCAAACAAGGTTTTTAAAGTAGCAGTTTTCAGTAGCATCCAGACTCTTTTTTTAAGTCTGAGTGTGCTGTGGAATGCTTTCAGGGCAGAGACACCCCCTTCTGGGTTTCCTCCTCTCCCCAGGGAAGTAGGTCTTGCAGTCTGAACAGGGAGGAAAGCAGATCCTGCACTACAACATCATTTCTTTTAGGGAACAGAATTGCATTGGCTGATCTGTTGTATGCAACTACCAGGGTACAGATAGGTAAAAATGTACAATAGCCCGTAAGGCAAAGATATAATATGTTTTTCAAATAAATGCGAACTTTTAATTAAATGATGGGAAGAAGCCAGATCACTACAGTGAATTTGATCGCATTTTGGTGTTCCTCTCACACACGAAAAAGGCACAGAAATTCCCCTTCAAAGGTTTGTGTTTCTTCTCTTAAACAGGCTTCACTTATAAGCAGTAGCCTTCCTTGTTCATTTTAATGAAAAATAAATAAATATATAAAAAAAGGAAAAGGAAAAAAAGTCATTCATTTACATTTTCCTGTTAATAACTACTTGCAAGATAAACATAATTTCTGGAAGGAAGATTCCTAGGCTATACCTAGCCAGCAGGACCTCACAGGACTTCTCAGCCCCTGGGTTCAGGCAAGCATGCAGCTGCATGCAGTCTGCCAGCGGGAATGAGACTGTGCATCCGCCATGCACAACGCTGTGCCTTGGGTTTACCAGAAGGAAATCCAGCACAAGAGAGGATGGCAAAGTACTCGTGGCAAAAACATCCCTCACCGGGAGAGGAGGGAACCAGGATTGAGGAACACACGAGGAGGTGTACCTGCCTTCCAGATTAGGTCTTAATATTATCAGCATGTGGTGGCATAGTAAAAGCTAGAAAAAATAGCTTATTCAGTGTTCTGTAGTTGTCAGTAACAGAGTTCAAACACTGTAAAAAGCTAGATTAACTAACAATATTACATGTTTGACTTGTGCTTACCCCTATGACACCACTGCAGTCAGTTCCTTTTATTTTTTCCCCTTATTTTTAAATTATCAACTGATACTATTTAAAGATGGGTTACAGGTTCTTTTACCACCTTTTTGGTTTCATTCCATAGAAACTTTTACCTAATATTGCTATCAACAAAGCATTACTTTTTCTCCTCACACCAATGATAAAGAAACATGAGCACACAAAACCAGAAATTTTAACACAGTAGATTTTCATGCATACAAACCTGTATGATTTGTTGTCGAGTTCATTCTTTTTGCAACTATACGTTTAATTTCATCCAGGGCACTGCTCAGTTCATGGGATCTTTTATTATTTTCTTTTTCAGCATACAGCAGTCTTTGCCGGAGTTCCAGAAACTGGCTTCGATACATGGCGAGGTCATTGTCTGCAATGAGAACATAACTTCTTTTCAGAGAAGTGAGCATACAATATACATGATGGTATAAAGTGAAAGTTGAAGAATAGGAGATAGTCCAAAAGAATGTATGACCAAGACTGTAAGACTGTATGAAATCACTCAATTTTTTACTCACAGAACGAAGAAGCCTGGAAGAGCATTCAGAATTAGGGAGTTTAGGCACCACTGCTGGGTAAAGGTTTGGAATTGAAGCCAAGAACTAGAGTATGACATTTGTAACAAGGAAAAATAATAAATGCCAGACTATGAGTTTCAAGCAAAGGCACTATCCAGTAAACCCAACATTTTTGGTAAGTATCTAATGCAGATGACCCCTTGTCACACTTAAGAGTGTCATTATGTAGTGTCTTACTTTGTATAAAACATTAGTAAGATTGAAAAAAAAATATATTAAGGTATTCAGTCTTCACTTATGATTTAAAAGTGTCTGGAGTATACAAACTATTAGTAGAGATGGTTATTTGAACTATATATATATCGATATATACTATATGAGCTATATATAATGATATTGATATATTTAATTCTCTAGATAACAACTGAAATTGTGCTCTGGATTGAAAGATGTCTTCATAATTTATAGCCCGCCTCTAACTAAATACCCTCAAATCATACTGATAGTAGAAACACTTTACTCTCTGTAATAGTTAATAGATGCCTTTGCTGTTCTCCATCATTTCAGATGATGTCAAGGTTATGTTTAGGCAGGATCCACATTCATAAGAAGCAAGTACTGTTAATTGCATACACAGGACTTCTCAGTTGTCACAGATGACGTACAAGACCCATAACCCTTTGCTGCCTCATCTCAATGTAAACAAAGATTGTAAGACTTGTTAAAATTAATGTAAGGAAACATTTCAATAATACTACTCACTTAGAAAGCAAAGAAAGTAGAGGGCATTAGATGGCATGGTTAACATTGGGAGAGAAAGAAAGCAGTTACTGTCTTTAGCAAACAAAAATAAAATAGATATTGCTTCCTTACAACTGACAGGCTAGGTAAACCAAATTTTCAAACTTGGGTTAGTGTAGGTCCACCTGGAAAAAAACACGCTTGTGTACTCAGCTGAGGAACTGAACCCCATGAAAAAATAGTATCAAAAGAATAGGTGAAATTTCACAACGTTGCTGTTCAAAGCTATGTTATTTCTGCAGGGATGCTCGCATGCAAATCAAATGTCACGGTAATAACCAAAAAGTTATTTTACTGTTTGACAATATAATGACATGCAACTTAATATGAAAAGATTCTCTGCTGCCAGAAACAACTTCACAAGGTCAACTATTTAAAAATAACTTTTGCTACTGATACGCATCAGAAAAAGCACTAAAATTTCAGGCAAATTAAGGATTTTGTGAGAGTTTTAACAGAGAAAAAAAAAAAAAGTGCTTTGAAAAAAAAAAAACAAACAGTGAAGAATAGGATCTCCACTTTACAATGTTTTATAATTAAAGCTGGTTCTTTGTTGGTAGTAGTTTTAAGTTAAATGTTTTTATACAGACACTTCCATTCTATTCATGGACTGTGCTGAGTCCGAACCTTGGCAGGAGTGTCTTTCTAGGACCTACTCTTGTCTCCAAGCAGAGTGAGTTCCCAGGGAGTCTAGCCTGCTGAAGAGACTAAGGGCAAAATGTGCACGTAATACAAATTGGTGAGTGTTTGCAGAGGCCTTTCAATCAGAAATGATTTTGATTTTTAGCTAAATAGTAATTCCATTTGCATTAACTCAAATAGTCAATCAATAAATTAGAAGATAAAATCTGAAAAGATATAGGAAGGAAGCAGTTAGGGAAAAGTATTTTAATAGTAAACATGATCTGCGTTACTGTTATTATTATTTTTATTAGTGGTCTCAGTTAAAAAGTCAACATTAATATCAGTATGTAAATTAAAGATACAGTAATTGTAATTTTAACCTTTGGCAAAAAATAAAATGTATGTTTGGAACGCAGTACTAAACTTTTTGTATTTTGCTTTATAAGAAGAAACTGCCATAATCAGTATTTATTACTGACATAATTTTATCAAACTAAGACGATAAAATTAGAAGCATTTACACAGCTCAATACCCTAAATATTTAAATGGTCATTAAGCTTAGATGGATTTTAGTATGTGTGTGGAAAGTGTTGTTCCTTAAGTTTCTACAGATGTACACAGAACCAAAACAATGTCTTCCAATAGCTTGCTTAGAAAGAACCAGACGGAGCATTTCCACAAATATAACTCTAGCAAAGCTGGGAGAGCCAGGAGGAAGGAGCCTCAGATGTATCACAAAGCACTCTGTCTGTCCTCAGTGATAGCTTTACTTAGCAACACCTCTCGGAAGACTTTTTTCTGCAACTGGGACTGTCAGGAGAAAGAGACAGATGAAGACCCATGGCAAAACTACAAAAAATAACTGAAGATAAAGGCTTTATTTCCCCTTGGAGAGCTGAGGATTAATCACTGCGATGGGCTAAGAAAATCCTACCAGGAAATGTCAATGGGGTTATACTAGCTAAAAGCAGGGGTGAAAAACAGCCAGAATCAGAGGCAGCATTTAAAGCTTTTGCAATGAATCTTTAGCTCTGCTACATTTCTTCTGACCCTTCACCACACCGTCATATACATTTTTGGGTTCTGTAGTTCTAAAATAGTAATACTTGAAGCGGTTTTAACTGTAATCTTATCTCCTCATATATACATAAATATAACTTTCTGCACTGGAAACTGAAGTTGTTTAGAAACAATACTAATCTCTAAAACAAATACTGATTCTGAAATTCAGACAATTATTTCTCTTAGCTCCACACACACATACTTCCTATTATCATAAATGCTTCCAGTCTTATTAACAGTAGATTTCCAGGAATATGTAAGGAGCTCTGGAACAATCATCAAAACCCCCTTCTAATATTCAAGGAGGGGGAAAAAAAAGGAAAACTGGGGATGACAGAAAGGGTAGAAGAACTTTCCTCCCCATAGTCTAGCAGTTACCCTTGCTCCTATTTCTTGATGACAAGCTACATTCTCTACCATACCTATGGACACTTCCTTCTGGAAATTGAATTTTGGTTAATGCCCTCTTTAAAGAAAACTATATAAAGCAACTGCAAAAGATCTTGTACACTGCACTTGGAACCACTGCTCGGGTTAATGAAGCATATTAAACCACTGAGGCATGCGTTGCGTTAATAACTGTGGAGGTTTATTGTCTTCCTGTAACCGATCTAAAATAGAATAGAATAACAAGACTTCTAAATCTCGTAAGACATATAACAAGCTGAGTGTTGTTCTTTCAGAATGAGGAGAAAAAAATCCCCCAAACAATGCGTCTGTCTTAGTTCCGAACAGCCCGTTCTTACGCAAACACTTTGATTCAACAATGTGCTAAAGTCTAAGGGTATTTAAGCACCCTCCTCGATAAGGACACCTCCCTGAAATTGTGTATGACTGTTAAATACATTGTTTATAGCATTACAGCACAGTGACTTGTCCCTAACAGAAGGCTAGAGATAACCAAGAGAAACTACCATGAAGCCAGAAGCAGCGTCACCTGCACTAGGTACATTTATCCCTTAAGAATGGTCTGAGCCAAAACTGGGGTAGCCTCAATTGCTGAGCCTTAACTAGAGGACACAGCAGGTCCTAATGCATATCTTAAACTTTCAGGAGCCTCTGAAGTCAGTCAGTGTTCATGTTTTGTCTGCCCCCTGATAGCAAGTGGGCTACAGAGGCTATGGCTACAGTGTATGGTGGAGTCCAGAAGTAGAAGGAGGAGAAAAATTAAGGCACATGCCTCAGCTGGCTGGTTGAAACCTTTGCCCCACTATGATGCAGCAGCGTCAAACATGCAAGCTTGGCAGGCCAAACTATGGGGCTTAACATGCAGTGAGGGTTCTCTCACCGTGTTTTTACAGCTTGCTCTACAGGCGTCTAGCTAGGCCAAGTAACCAGGCAGCAGTATGCTCTCCCAGTCAGTCTACTTGTCTTTGACAGTCTCCACATCAAGAGCTTCAGGAGAGCGGAGGCCAGCAGGGCAACGTTTTATTAACACAGTGACATCCAATAAAGACTGTGCCAGCAGTTTTTGGTGGGAAGCTAGGGTTCCTCCACACAGCAACTAGGAAGAGAATCGAATCAGAATCACTTTCCAATACTAAAATGAACAAACAAGACAAAACAAACAGAAACTTCATGAAGTTAAAACAGATCAAAGTCAATAACTGAATATTAAATATACATGAAATTCCATAAAGAGCAAAGAGTCGCTACTGGTTTTAGCACAGAATCAATTTTACTAACCCCATTTACACTCTGTATCTAACTGAAAATAGAGATGGAAACAAACTTATTTTAGAGAAAAAACAACTAGAGTTCTGATAATATTTTCTAAAACACTGGCAAACAGTCCTTTTTCTATAGCTATGTCTTTTCCTGTATGAGAACCTAGTGAACAGGGATTTTAAAACATTCATCCAAAACATTTCTATGTAGAAAGCATTATTAAAATAAGTGGAGAAATGTATGAATTGAATAGCTATACTTTGGTGTTTGCCCATAATTAGTATCCTTTGGTTTTATCATAGCAATGTTATGGACACAATAAAGGTTCTTATTAGCAGTGGAAAATTCTGATTTGAATATGGTCTTTATCAGATAAATAAGAAGTACTCATTCACTTCAGACAATTAAATGGTTATTGCTTCTTTGCGGTTAGCATTTTATATATTTTTACTGTTCTGCCTGATGTAGCAACAATCACACATTTATACACACGTTTAATTAAATGCCTATCTACTAACTAAATTATTTCTGGATAAAAGTGTTTCTCAAGACTGAGTGTACAACGTTAGGAAAGCATGAAGGTCATGTTTACACTTGTTTAAGTAGAGGTCGTGATAATACACTGTGCAGCAAACAAAGAGTGGTCAGAAATTTTCCTTATTCCTTCCTCAACAAAAAAAAACAACAACATTAACTAGTTTCAGTTTTTACCTGAATCTTTTTAGAATTTATAACTCAATTCCTCTACTTCTGAAGACAAGGCAGCCACTATTCCACCTAAATTAACTGCAAAAAGCAGCAGTCTCTTAGTTTAGTAAATGACACATTTAGAAGCCAGTAAAGCCATACAACTTTTGTAAGTGTTGGATACAAATTTTGGTATAAAATTTGGGACCAGTGAATACTCAGTCTCAAGTTCCATCTGAAGTTGTTGTAGTTTTTTTTTTTTGTTGTTTTGTTTTGTTTGCTTTTTAAAGACTGAAATGGAGAACCACGTAAAGAAACCAAATAATGCCTACTGTGCATTTTGGTCACATCCCAACTGTGTGCTGGGGCAATACCAGGCTGTGTATTAACTTCTGTATGCTTTTGGTTCCACTGGAAGGAAACTGGATGCACAAAGACAGGAGGGATGAAGTAGACCATCATTCAAGCCCCTGATCTGGACAACTGGGTGCCCGGGCTTGGTGGCTGGAAACTGCCTAACAGGCCTAGAGAATACAGGAAAACTCTTTTCTGCTTGTTCATAAAACTGAACAAGCTGTATTGGCTGAAATGAGATCGGTGTAATTCAAGACTCCTTATCAGCCCATCAATTTGCCACTACTTAATTGAAGCTTTAGGCCACAGCGTGCCAGTTGGGTCTGGATAGGAAACCCACAAAGAGCTCCGTCACAAATGACGATCACACAGGGAGCTCCACTTGGGTGCACAGCAGGGGCTGGCCAGCAGCAGCAATGTCACACCACGTACAGAAGGTTAGTGGAAATAAAGGGAAGAAACATGTAGCCTGCTGTTTGTACTGGCACGTACATTACATTATTTCAACTGCAAACAACTGGCATTCATTAGAAACTTCTTTGTAACCCTTTGCACCCCTTCTTGCTGATATGTTAAGCCTTGTGAAATAATGAAACATTTACTATATTAAACAATTTGATAAACCTTAAGTATACTTCTGTGAGTGTGATTAAGCATGAACAGTTCCCTTTTTCTTTCCCCAACTTTAAAGAGATAAATAGAGAAACACAGGTTTCACAGTGTTTGTCTCAAACCATACATATTAAGATGCTTAGACATTTATATTAACATGCTTACATGTGACATCATATTTTAGCGTTGCTGTCTCCTAACTTCCAGACAAACTTTAATCTTAATTTACTTGGATTAAGCGTCCCACAAATGTAGGTGAAGAGGGCATCAGCACCATATAAATCAATTCTAAGGGATCTAATCCTGTTACCTTTACAGGCACCATTAAGAAGCACTGCCCCATGAGATGATTCTATTTACCTCGCTGCTGTGACAAGCAAATAAATAAATAAATAAATCACTGTTATTCAGTCAAGTCACTGAAGTTGACTAGACTAGGACTAGAGGAAATGGTCTCAAGTTCTACCAGGGGAGGTTTAGGTTAGAAATTGAGACATTTCTCCTCAGAAAGAGCAGTCAGGCACTGGAACGGGTTTGCCCAGGGAGGTGGTGGAGTCACCGTCCCTGGGAGCGTTCAAGGAAAGGTTAGACGTGGTGCTTGGGGACATGGTTTAGTGGGTGACGTTAGTAGTAGGGGGATGGTTGGACCAGATGATCTTGGAGGGCTTAATGATTCTAAGTTTTTATTTGGGAATAGTCTTTCCAGAGAAGAAACTTCATGTAAATTCATAATGAGAATGCACTCTTGCCTTCTTTACTGTTTATAAAATGGAGAAAAAAAAATTGCTACCTCCTTACTACTTTTTTTTATACCTATTATATTTTGTGTTGATTAATACTTTCATGGATAAAACCATGTGAGAAAATCACTACACAAATTATAAGTTATTTACTAGTTGCTATAACTACAAATGTATATAAAGAGTATTTACATGAGAGCAAATACTTTTGGTCAGGTGAACTAACAAGTGGATTGTAATTCGGTTGCATAACAGTAGGAACATCTGCATCATCCTGATAACAGCCTTTCCTATCCCCAGTTGCAAAGTGCTTGCTTCAGACAGGTTTTGCTTAGGGCCTGGGGAGGGACCAAGAAGCTCATGGCAAAACCATGCAGGATGTGGAGCAGGTATTGCTACACCAGTCAAACCGAGTACTGGCTAACAGCAGCCTGTGTTTACAAGCACTCTAGAGGATGCTAAAGGAATCACCATACAAGCCTAGATGCAGTATCAAGATTTGCTGAAGATGTGGTGACTACCAATTGTCTCTGTAATTACTTTTTCTGCCACAAAATACAGTCAGCCTATTGAAACTGAAACCTCTGCTCGTACATATTTATTAAGTAATGGAAACAATGAATACACAGCTTTTTAAGGATAGCTAAAACGTTTATAATAAGACAGTATCAGAGTCCAAAATAGCTGAAGTTTAATGACTGTCAGATTCTGTACTTTCATTTAAAGTGCGTAAGTTATGCATGAACATCTTCCTTGCTGTGCCAGTTCAAGTTACCTGTTGTTGAATTAAGTCTCAAAATTTCAATTATAATCTCTCAAGCTAGCTAGCCCCTTACTATAAGGCATCTAAAGGTCTCTGTGTTTTGTTTTTCCCCCCCCACTGAAATCAGGACAGAGCTAATATGTGATTTACACTTCAGGCTAACACCGAAGGGCTGAAAGGCTCTAAGACAGCAGGCAAATCAAACACTGGTTTACAGGGCTATTATATACTTCACATATTAGAGTATGAAGCTAGGATGCCCTGTCCTAGCTGTAAAACAAATTAATTTTTTTTTTTTTTTACGATCCCAGTATCAACGCAATCCAAGAAACAATAAATGTCTAGAAACCAAAGTGTACACTACAGACTGCAACTGCTGAGTGTGAAACTGATTTCAAAGATCAAGACCAGCTGGCACGTTTTGATAGGTAAGTCAGAGAAGCAAACTGGAGTAACTGCAGATCTAACAAATGTGTAGAAGAAAATGAGACAGAGAAGAACTTCCGACAAACAGGTAAAAGAAGTGGGAGCTGATAAGCATTAGAGACAGTACTTGATGTCTCAGTAACAGGTGAGATAAGTGAAAAGGGCTTTAGAAAAGAAAACAAATGGATCATGTTTGAGGTGTGAGAAAAGTAGGAACTCCAGCACTGCTCTAGGCATGTTGCTAGAGGGGTAAGTTCAGCAGGGAGGATGGGAAGAAGTTTAACAATACCTAAGCAGAGCTATATGCCTGCTGTGGGGGAAAGAGATTTGTTTCAGCTCCTTAGATATTGTCATGTCTTAGTCATAATGATGGAGCAGCATTTGGTTTGCTCCCAATTCTCCTCTTTGTGGAAAAAAGTAACAACATAGGATGGTTCTTGGGGGTTTTCTTGGTATAGGTAGGACATTTCTGTGTTCTAGCACCCCTCAAGAACAAAAATTGCACTTTTCCAGTGAAATAAACTTAATACAAAGTCATTTACCACATGCACCTTTACTTACAATTATCTACTCTTCGTTGAACATTGTAAATTAACATTAATAACGGTTAAAAGTTTGTTAATTAAAAAAAGGTGCTAAAATAAATAGAAAAATACATCGTTTGAGAAGAATTAGTTACTCTGTTGTGGAGAAGGAGACATCTGTGGAATGACAAAAGTTAAGTCAATACACACAGAGAAGGAAACACCACCACCACCCCCCCCCCACAAAAAAAAAAAAAAAGGAACAAACAAACAAAGCCATAGACACGGAACACCAGCAGAGAAAGGTCAAAAAGAAAGGTGATTGAAAATGGTACTTCAGCAAACGAGCCATAAAATAGAAGTCACGAAAGAACATGGTGATACATGGATGTAGGCTGTGGCTGGGACAAACCCTCTCTTTCTATTATCTTTCAGATCTTAGTTTCTTAAGACACACCCTATTTTTTCTTTGCTTATCATTCCCTGCTCGTAGCAGAACTGCCACTTTAAAAAAGTGTCAAGTGCTGTAAGATCGACAGCTGCCTAGCTGAGGAGAAACAACGAAGGCAGGAGGGTCGGCATTGCCTCAGCTCCATTCAACACTGCATTACGAGGCTGAGGGCTCTACTGGCACCTCAGTCGGTCACAAAACCTACCAATATAAGCAAAATCTAACAGCTAGCACAAGTTCTGTCTTCATCCCAGCAATTACTAATTGGCTTAATTCTTCTGCATCCATAAAGCCAGACCTTTTTGAACGCGTATGTAGGAAACTCTTCAAAACCCATTCTCTCTGCCCCATCCCAAGCAAACTGCCACATTAACGAGCTGTCTGCCAGCCTTCAAGGCGTTACTAGGAGAGACTATCAATTTATTTTTGGAAAATAACATCAGCTTCACCTTTCCTGCGCCGGCTCAGAGGACCTTAAGGTGATCTGGCAGGTGCCACTTACATAGCCCATTAAAAAGACGCACCGCTTATAAACAGAAACAAGGGTCAGGTGCCTCTCTGCGGACCGAGCAATCCCTCGTAGCGCTGGAAGTGCCTGCAGGTGAGGCACAAACACCACGGGTAGCGCTGCTCTGTCCTCCTCGAGTACCACCACAAACAAAACCGCGGCGCTCACCCCCTCCCCATCCTAACCCTAGGAGAAAAGCTCTGTTAGGGGCACCTCGCCCAGGACCTCACGGGGGATTTTTCGTGTCCCCTGCGCCCACGCCCGGCCGCGGAGCCCCGGCAGCGCCCCCCTCGCCTCTCCAGCCCCCTTGGCAGCTCTCACCTGTCCCCCCCGGCCACACCGCGTACCACAGCAGGGAGCCGGCGGCGCCCAGGCACAGCGCGGCCAGCAGCGGGCCCTGCCGGAGCCGCATCTCCCGGCGGGGAGCTCCCGCAGCCCCGGCACAGCCCCGGCACAGCCCGGGCAGCAGGCCGCCGGGCGGGGCCGCGCCGCCCTCAGCGCCCACGGGGCCGGGCAGCGCCGGGGAGGAGCCGCCGAGGGGACGGGGACCGGGAGCGGGACCGGGAGCGGGACGAGGCGGCGGCGCCTCAGGTGCTCGGGGCGGGGGGCACTGGGGATGAGGGGCGCCCTGGGGGGCTCCCGCAGCACCGAACCTAACGGGATTCCTGCCTGCACGGCTGAGCCTTAACGTGCCGGCGGCTGCCGTCGTGCCCCTGATGGCAGGCAACGCGTGGGGACAAGGAGCTGGCCACAGCGCGGCTGTAACGCCGAGGGGGGATGCAGATTTCAGAGCCGCATCCGAGCTTTACGTGAAAAAAGCCCTCCTCTCCCTGCCTTTCCTTTGCTGGGACACCTGCACCAACTGCTCGCAAAGCCACTCAAATTGGGGATTAAAAAAAAAAAAAACAAAACATAATTTCCAGTTTGGTATCACAAAGACATAAAGGACCAATTGAGAAATCATACTGGACTTTGTTAGCTGATAAGAGCAGTAATTTACTAGCTGCTGTTTCCTTATTGCCACCGTATATTACTCATCACCTTTTTTTACCCAAATGATGTAGTATTTTCTATCGTTTGCTTTATAAAAATACGCTTGTATTATTAACACAACAGCTCCTTTTCTCTAAGCTTACTTAACAACTGCATCTCATCTTAAACCAAAACACTGAATCACTTGGAACAGTGTTGTGTAAAGCAAACCCCAAACCTGCAGCACTGTTTGGTGTCCGGACACAACTATGCTGGAGCCCTAACGTGAGCACTGCCTCTATGCTCCACTCTTTATTACTACACTAACATCATAAGTACACCGCCTTTTGAAAGCTAATCTTAGACTATCAAAATTCCCATCGCTGCTCTGGCTAGTTAGTGTAATCTTCCCATGTTTGAACTTTTACGCGGATGGGTTTACTTCTCCCTTTAACAATTACTTTGAATTGTGAATGTTACTCATTAATAATGCAGGAGAGTGCTAAGTAGCCTGCATCAGGATACAAATGGAGAGCTACAAATCTCAGCACAGCTCCTTGAATCACTAGGAAACCTGGAGTTAGGCTTCCCTATTCCTGATCTGTCCTCATTCACTAAACTAAACTTCCCCTTTCCTTCTGTTACTGACTGTATCTTGCTTTGATATTTTTACTGAGAAATCTTCTAAACTACACTTACTTTAAAAATGTTTACAGTTCTTGTTATTAACCAACATAATTACAACTCAGTGCTCTTATGCTCTATTGCCTGCTCATCAGCATTGCTCTCTCCAAGTTAACACATTAAAAGACCAAGACAATACTCTTAAAGGAAGATCAATGTAAGTTTTGGCACATTTTTAGTAAAGTAGAGATTCAGACCTGAGAGGAACAAGTAAATATTAAGTATGTCATATGTAATGAATTAATTACCTGTTAATTGACTGGCCGGTGTGTGTTTGTTACAGAGCCAATGTGAACCAGTATTTGATGTTGTCAAGCAGGAGGGATACCAAAGATATGAATAACAGAAAGCTAACACACACTTAATTTTAGTCCATTTTCAGAGCCAGTAAGAAAAATATTTTCATCACACACTTGTAGAAACTACATACTGTACAGGAAACATCTGTGGAGACTGGCACTGAATGCATTAGATGTTATTTATTGAGGCTGACTCTAAAGCAGACACAGTTACTACTCAGCCATGCTGAATTGTGGTGATCATTTACTTAATGCTGACTTAGACTGGTGTATTAACTTTTGATGAGGTAGTACATTAACTGTTCCTCTAAAAAATCAAAATACCAGATCACTGGAAACATAATGAACTTCCACTGCCTTGGGACCAACTTGCAAAGAAGCCCTCTTATTTGCTTCATGTTTTCCTAAAATCTTCCTCCCAGTGTTCTCGTCATATGTTATTTTATATACTCAAGAAATAACTAATAAATAAATAAATAAAATGTGCAGTATTTTTGTTTGTTTTTGGAGGGGGCTAAACAGCTCAGACCAGTTTTACCTCCCAGCAGCATTTCTGGCAAACTAATAACCTTAAAAAATAAACAACTGTATAGAACATAACACTGGGGAACCCCTACCACCTACTAAGCAAGTCAGTCATTCAGTGGGCTAGTTCCATTGAGACAGCTTACCTGCAAGACAAGGTTTCTGTGCTTGTCCTCATGCTTTTTAAATGAAAATCCTTTCTTGTACATTGCTATGTAACTTGAGCGTCTTGCATTTTCAGTGTTGTTTTCACACATCTCTGTGTATGCAAACATAGAGATAAGAAAGATTAAAATAAATATTTGACAAAATAAACACTCATGGGTGAAACAACTATTGGATTATTCTGCGTGTAAGTTGTAGCTGTCCTTCATCTACAGGGTACACGAACAAAGCATAGCTACTGGTAACAATAGGTGATAGTCACTGCCATGGAAAGTTTTCTGATAGTGCAGAGATCCAGCTGATATTGCTGGTTAAAGTCCCCTTTTATTTGCCCTGCTATCATTTAAGAAAGGTAACTTTAAAAGGTAAACAATAGTTCATTATCTTTCCTTCAAAGTCTCTGCGAAGGTAGCCTTGGAAGGCAACCACTGAACACAAAAGGAATAAGCTAGAACTTAAGCTAGAACTTTTTTTTTTTTTTTTTTTTTTTTTTTAAGTTACCCCCTTATGTTTTTGAACGTCCTAATAAAAATTATGAATTGACTGAACATGATGATACAGCAGGGTCTTGCATGAGTCAAGTAGTAACATTTGGGTAAATTGGCCACATTCTCTACTGGATCACTCAGTTGTGTAAAGAAGGTTTAAGTCAAGAGTTTACACTTGCTTGTTGTACACCAAAAAGATGATCAAGATCAAGTTTGGAACTCAACATGAAATTAATGCACCCAAAATCACTGATTTATATATAAACACCTTTATCTTTTGTCATATTTACAGTAATTAGGCTCTGTATCCTTTTAATAACTTATACAAAGCTGTGAAAAAAATGTCAAAAATGTAAGCTTTATTTTTAAAGCAATAATTGGTTATGGAATTTACATTTCAAAAACACAGATTTAAGTACATCGTATGAGTGAGAAAGTTATAAGCTAGATTAAAACTTGCCTCTATGAAGTTCTTGCATTTCAGAAGCACTTCAAGGAAAACAAGACCTACAAAATTTTCAAGCTTACCCCAGCAAGTTTAATGACAACACAAAAAGTATTTTACAATGTATTGTCAATGCCAAATATTTTTCACATCAATCGTAGAGACTGGAAACAGTAAGAATCAACTGAGAAAACAATAGTGTACTATGCATGTTTACTGTTAAAGATTATTGTAAAACAAAGTGGAACAACTTCCAGAACCTGTGGTACAAAAAAATGTTGCTTTGGTTCTTAAGAATCCATGCAAAAAGGAAGTTCTATTTAAGTCTAAATAAATAAGTAATAAAATAAAAAAGCATCCAAATCATTAAAAAGCTGTTTAATTAAATAAAAGATGTAACAAAGCCGAACGCTTGAATGAGACAGTATTAAGGCGTTATTTTGGTAGCCATCAGCTAGAAAGTTCCCTCAGTGTTGTTTGCACAGCCCCTCACTTAAAGGATGCACCTGCAGGACTTTCCAAGCAATTCTGGTAGCTTCTCGTCAGCTCCTCGTCAGCTATCTCGGAGCAATCAGCGTGTGGGCACGAAGACTGACCAGAAGGACCTGACTGCCCTTGGATTTCTTACCAGCATTTCCTCATGTTGTCGCAATTCCTCCATCATCCCAAAGTCAAGCCGTAACACCCCACTGCTGCTGACACCAGGAATCTCCTGACAATAGCCATCACACCCTCCTGCCACCCAGTAAGTTTACTTTTTAATAGAGAGAAACACCTCTTAGTTTATTTTTATCCTGTAGCACACCAATGTTTTATGACTCAGATTGCTCATTTATGAAGCCACACTCTGGAAAGAGTGATTGAGTGCCTGCCGCCTGTTAGCACCACCCGTCCCCACAGTTTTCAGGAGCTGGAATCAGAGCTGAGGTCAAACACCTGAATTTCTCAGATCAGTGACTCCCTCATGTGAAACTCCTCACCCCTGTAAGTGCACCAATCTGAATGGTAAAACAATAGATGTGTTGGCCCACCCTCCGAAATCCCGTGTGACACAGGCCACCAGGCCCTTCATGCTGTGTGAAAGGTACTTCCATTTCCTCCCTTCGGAGAGGTACCTGCCCTATGGCCCAGCAAGCCTGCCAGATCCCTTCCAGCCCCTCAAGCTCTGAGTGCAGCACAGAAGAAAAAGAATTCTTCCTGCTGCCATCCACAGAACTGTTTGAGCCAAGTGTGCTTAAAATAATCACTAATTATTGTACAATGGAGGTGCCTACCGGGGCTAACTGAAACACTGGGGCTGCACCTATGTGCAACAGCGGCAGAGCAGGATCCATGGCCAGCACCCTCCTCTCAAGCACCTCGCCTGACTACACCCACACCTCCTTCCTGATCACATTTCAGAACAGACATGTAACCCTAACCAGAGGGACAAGCACACCGCTCGCTTTGCCCTCAGACACAGACAAGCGGCCCCGAGCAACGCTAGGCTGGAATGAGGGGACATTTCTCCTCAGAGAGTGGTCAGGCGTTGGGTTGCCCAGGGAGGTGGCGGCGTCACCGTCCCTGGGGGTGTTTAAGGAGAGGTTGGATGTGGTGCTTGGGGACATGGTTTAGTGGGTGACTGTGGTGGCAGGTGGCTGGAACTGATGATCCTGGAGGGCTTTTACAACATTAATGACTGTTACTCCATGACCAGGCACGGACCGGGGGTGCCAGCAGCCCCCCCCAGCGCCCTGCCTTGCGCTGTGGGCGCTCAGCCTCGCCTCACGACCCCGGCCGGGCCGCTGCCAGCAGGCACCCGCCCGGTAGCGGCAGGGACACGGCCGGTAACGACAAGGGCCCGGCCGGCAGCCGCTTCCGTCGTCCCCCGCCATCACTTCCAGGTCAGGGAAGGCGGCGGGCGGCTTCCGGAGTGCGGCTGCACGGTGGGCGCCGCGGCCGTGGCCGGGGAGCGGGGAGGGGGGCGGCGGGCAGCGGGCGGCCGCGGGGGGTTAACGCGGAGCTTTCTCCACGCAGATGTTGTTGCAGCTGTGGGGGCTCCTGTACAGCAGCTACGTGCGGTTCTGGCTCAAGTGGGTCGTGAGGCTGCTCACCGGCAAGTGCGAGCTGCAGCGCGTCCTGCACGGCCAGAAGGAGGGGGCGCGGAGGACGCTCGGCATCGGTAACGATAACGCTGGGGGCTGCGGGGTTGCACGGCTGGGACCTCGAAACCCCCCTAACGCAGCTTTTCTCACACAAAAGTAGCTCTTTTTCTAAAAAAAAATAAATAATGAAACCTGCTCTGCTTCCTTATTCCTCAGTCGTAAACAAGAAGGCGTTTCGAAGAATGGAAAAATGTGCAGAGATATTTCTGTCTTGACACCTTTTCTTTTTTAGTAAATCCTGCTGACCGCTGGTTTGAATAATGAGCCTGTTTTCGGTGTTGCACTCAAGGATGATCGAAAATCTACGTAAATTACGCCTTTCAGTTGCTTGATAAAGGTTAATTTAAGTATTCGATACATGTAATCAAAAAGTTACTCAACGTTTTGTGATACTTACAAGAACACCTATTGTCAATTATTTAAAAATACACTTCCATCGGAATTTGTTTTTAATTTTCTTTAAATTATTGTTATTGCAGAGCATTCACTGGGATCATCAAAGAACAAGGTAATAGATGAAGATTCAGCTGTATTACAAACTACATGTATTTCAGAGACAGGTGCCTGAAAGGAATACGTGCCTTTTGGGGGAAGGAAAAAGCCGAGGAACAAGAGACAGAAAGAAAAGAACAACATTTTGGGTTCTGCATGCTAGGATTAGTCAGGGTTTTTCAAGAATAACCCTGTATCACTCCAAACATCTGTTCACTTTTTTTCCTCTGAAAGACTACCTGCTCTGTAGCAGAGTCAGACAAGTCATGGTACTGAATTTGTGTTCTTGGAGAGAGTCAGTTGTCCCCTGTCACAGCAGTCTCCTTTGCTGGCTTTGTAGAAACCAGAAATGCAATACAGGTAAATGATACAGATAAAGCAAATTATATGGAGTATATACAATAGCATCTCAATTAATTGGGGGAAAAAACGTAATGCATGTTTGCAGGTAGACTTTTAACTAACAAACTCCTGCCGATTGTTCCGTAGCAGTTAGACATTGTAGTTAACGCTTTAAGCCCTCACATCTGTGCATCTTGAACGAAACTTTTCCATTCTAGGTAGTGAGGTGACGGAGCATTCTTCCTTTTCTAGCTAATCACTGCAACATGATTTTTAGAGAGAATTAGTATTTTTGTTACAGTAGAGCACAGTATGCATTTGTTTCAATTAGGTTAGGAAGAACATCTTTCAATTCAGCATTTGAAAGCAAACAAGAACCTAAACTTGAACTTTTTTTTTAAAAGTGGGTCTTATACAGAAAAACAATATTTATAGTTGGTAGTTACAAACAATGCATTTATCTAATTACACAGATTTTTAAAAGTGATTTGAGCATAATTATTTAAAAGATATAAAAAGGAGAACAGTCAATTTCTTGAAGGAATACACTTGGGCCAGGCATCCAGACAATGAGAAACAGCAAGAGTCAAGTAGGTGACAAGTAGGTTTCTGCATTCATCATGAGGACTTTGACTATGTTAACTTCTTAGGTTTTAAGAAATGCTCTACATGTTGATGAAGCCGAAGTGGAGAAGTGTGTCAAAGATGTAATGAAAGAAAAGAAAATTGAACAAAAGGATATCAGGTATGTTTGGAACTCTAACAAAGGTTCTTCAAGGCAGATAATTCTCACTTCTTGGCGTGTTTTTGCTGTTGTTCAGTCAGATACAATACTTGATCAATTCAAGTCTTTAGAATGAAGCTAGAAAATAAGGTCTGGCTATGTCCTCTTCAGTTCTAGGAAATGCATTGCAAAGTTTAAATTGCAATGGATTTGAGATAAGTGCCTCTGTATCTCACAGGTCACTTGTTATTCCTTGCTTTTAAGAAGTATTACAGAAGTTGAGACATGAACTATGTAGTTGTTTAGATATTTTTGAGAGTATAGTGATAGCAGATTGAAGTTTGCATTTCTCTGCAGAAGTAATTATGAGTGATTGAGAGGAAAACTATGAATCATCAAAATTTTAGTTCAATGAAACATTTTGAAGGTATAAGATTTCTGACAAAGTTTGGTTTTGAGGCTTATAAAAGGTTTGTGGGCAGATGTTTGTGGGTACAGTAGTCAGGATGATACAAGGAGTTTTTCTGTGTCACCACAGATTTTAGTAAGGGTATGTTCCCCCATATATTTAAGTGAATAGGGCCTGACTTTGCAGTTGTAAACTCAGAATTAGAAGTAAGACCCCTAAAGCAGTATGCTTAACCAATATGGTGAATTTTAAGATGTAATCATAAAGCACTTTCTAATTCTAATTATTATATTGTGTTTACCTGATAGAACTTTCCTTGTTCAAGCAAGAATTTATAGCTAACGATGCCTCAGTATTTTCTATTATTTGTTATTATTTCAGGTTTAAGACAAATTTGCATATATCCTTGCTACAGATAACAGGTTATAAAAAACTTTACTTGAATGTGGAAAATCTGAGGAAGGTCCCGTATGATTCAGATAATGAAGAACATGAGGAACAGTTAATTGAGGTAAAAACAATCTTTTAAATACAAAAGCTGTTCCCCGTTTCCCACTGTCAAGTCCAATAGTTACTACTAATAAATGAAATTCTTTGCATTATTAACAGATGCCCTAGTTAAAGCTCTTTTCTATTTGTGAACCGCCAAGTCATTATAGAAGTGGCTGATTAAAATAAAATGTCAAAGCGAAACCAATTAGTAAACTAGTGTTGCTTGTACTGGGATTACATGTATGTTATGTAAAGCAGACCTAACAGTCAGCAAAACACTTTTTATAACAGGTTACTGAAGGATTTTAACTAAAAAGATATTTAACCTTGTGCAGACTTCTGTAAGTTTCTTAATTAATAATTACTTTAAAAAAAAACACCACTCGTGTTTTCTTATTACTACATCCTAGTCAACGTCAAAGAGGATAGTTTCAATCTGTCAGTATTCAGTTATCAGTATAAATAATAGCAAAGGTAATTCTGCTCAAGTCTATTTTAAATAACTTCTACTTCATAAATATATTAGCATGTTATTTTCTTAGCATTTCATAACTCCTCCAACTTGCCATACAAATCCCCACATTGCATTGCTGTCCGTAGGTGTCAAATCCCTACAGACAACAGCATGATGGGCACACAAACATTTTTTGTGAATTTGTATTTCAGTTTACAGCTGTCCAGTTGGAATACGATGCATCAATTATTTTCTGAAATGCAACAGGTCTTGGCTTTTACAGTGTCAGTATAATGGCTTTGCCAACAAATGGAAATTATCACTTTTAATGTTAGATGTAATCATTTTCATAACCTCTTGACTAAGCTATTGTAGCATGACTCCAGATTGCCACTGACAGAAAAGAGCGTGCAGGCTGTATCCTATTGTGTGGTGAATGGTTTCTAGTGTGCAGCAGCAAGTGCTCTGAATTATGTGACTTAGAATACTTCAGTAGCTATGCATGACATGGTAGCATATTTGTGCAGCTTTGGAATTTGCTGATGCCTCATGAAAATCTGAAGGCCAGAATCACCAAGCAGTGGTGTGACATCGGCTTCCAAGGTGATGACCCCAAAACAGACTTCAGAGGGATGGGCCTGCTGGGATTAGTGAATCTGGTGTAAGTGAAAAGAACTATGGTGGTTCAGCTGTAACTAATGTTCAGTATCTATGAATTCTCATTAGTTAATGCTATTTTTAATAAAGACTGAATAAAAGCAAATAGAAATGGTGGCTTAGGTACAGTGAAAAACAATATTTGTTAATAAGTCAAATGTTTCTAGCAGCTACACTTCTGTAAATGTGTAGTTGGGTAGAGACAAGAGGTGAGGGGAGAAAAAAGTTGCCCCAGACACCTTATTTTTTGTCACCATATGATCAATTCGATAGGCTATGACTTGGAGAGTAACTTGTTGAAAGCTTTTTAAATTTCTGAATTTATTACTGCATTGAAAAATAAACACATTTGCATACCTCTGCTAAGCTAATTTGTAGACTCAGGTAAACTTCCTGTTTGATGTTCAGATTGCTTGTTTTTTAATTGCATAAGCTGAATATAATTTAATTTTTTAAGAAAATACTTTTCCTTTGTTTTCACATTGTGACCTTTTTAGTACAGAGTAGTATTCAGCTCTAGTTTATAGTTATATGTTTTCATAATTTTTTTTTTTGTATGAACTTAAAAATAATGAAAGGTCTTGTTTCACACTTACAGGTATTTTAGTAAGCATTACACCAATGAAGCTCGTCAGATCCTCTCTCGTTCAAATCACCCAAAGCTGGGGTAAGTCATGACTCTTTTTCACTTCTTCTGTAGAAGAGCACATGAGAATTGTCAAGTACTGTTTCTGAAAATAAAAAGGAAAATATTCGTGTTTCTTCCACTTAAGGATGGAAAAAAAAGTAGAAAGGCTTGAGAAACGGAACAAATCATTTTCAGGTTGATAACTTTGCAATTTTTTTCCGAACAGACTTGTTGGGACAAAAATTTTGACTCTGGTTAACACAAACACATAACATCATAGCTGTGTTTTTAATAGATTTAGAAGTGAATATGTATTTTTCACTTTCTTATTGATCCTGTGTAGGGATGGCATAAATTACCTCTTAATCTAATCTTTTTTCTAGACTTCTGTAATAAGTAAATACAAGTAGATGTTTTGCTCGTTTCAGCATTTTACTTCATCTTTGAACACTATGTATTAAAATGCTTCACTCATTTTACAGGAAAAGATATTTTAAAACAAGTCAGATACAAAGATAGAGAGCCAGTAAATCTGTATGTGTCATCTGATCCATCTAGTCCCCAGTTAGCTCAATCACCTACCAAGAGAAGGAAACTTCCTTGACTTCAACTCTAAAGAATATTAATCGTATGCAACTAGATCATGAATAAGATACTTCCATCAATTAAATACATACATCACTGAAATAAATTCATCTTTTTTTAAACACTTGTTTCAATAGTCCTTCAGCAATCTGTGATGTGATACTTTCTAACTGTGCAGCAGAAAAACAGATTTTTTGATACGAAGAAATAAGTTGAGATGACCATTCTATTGATATTTCAATAGTTTTTTTGATGCCCTATTTTTGATATTCCAGAAGATGTAATGATTTCAATTGAGCAATATTGGGTCAATATTGATTACCCTTCCCATCTCATCATTGCTTAACAGAGGCATTTACCATACTACTGTATAGGAAATTAGAGGGTTTTTTAATAACTAACTTTCACAGGGTTAGCTACACCAGCAAACTGAAAAAGGGGTCTGTAGGCCAGAGTTGGCTTGTTGACAAGTATTATAGGAAAAATTGATTCTTACAGTTATCCTAATGCCAACTGTTTCTGGGAAGCTTTTAAAAGTCCTTCAATCCATAAGGTAAAAACAGTGAACTATGATTGATCACTGTTGCAGATATTCTTATGCAATTGTTGGAATTAATCTGACTGAAATGGCATACAGCTTACTTAAGAGTGGTGATTTAAAACCTCATCTGTACAACGTGGTCTCTGGATTGCCACAAATGGAACATTTCCATCAATTTTACTGTAAGTATCTGTGGATTTTCTAGTACTGATTACTGGGGGTATGCCTACAACATAAAGTGTTGTTTGGTTGGTCGATTTATTTTTGGAGTACACCTCTGCTTTTTTCTCTTTAGCCCCACAGCAAGCTGTTTACCTTCAGGACCAGGTACTTGAAATGTAACCACTATTTAACCACTGTGCTACAGAAATGTACGTTTCAGTAATAAATTTAGGTGAATTTCTGTATCTGCAGTCTGAAAATACAGTACTTGCAGATTTATTATTATACCGTGCAAAAGGTTGCTGCTGACCAGGATAAAACACTTACTGTTTTAGGAATTGGACAAAGTCTAAAGGATCATTGTAGATCTAACTAGCTCAAGGCAGAAAATTGTGGAGCTCACTTTTGTAGATCTGTATTTTATTTTTTTTTCTAGGTTATCTGGTTTATGAGTTTGACAAGTTCTGGTTTGAAGAAGAACCAGAAAGTATTATGCACTTCAACCAGTACAGAGAAAAATTCCATGAAAAAATTAAGGGTCTTCTACTGGATTATGATGCGGTATTAACCTTGGGAGATAAAAAGAAACCTTAACTCCTCTGCAATATATCAGGTTCTGCATTAACAACAGAATTACTCATTTGGCTGAAAGTTTTGTAAGTTTCACCAAAAACTGTATAACAATAGAACTTTTTTACATAAAAAAGTTTAAGTTCAGTTAAGAAAGCTTGGACAATCAACCTCTGTTTACAGCTCTTTATATGCTACTCTCCAAAGGACAGGGTTATTATTTTTGTTGGTTTGTTTGTTTTTTAACCCAAAAGTCTGAAGATCCCTGGATCACTTGCTCTCTTTTTTTATACTTCTTGGTGCAGGAACACAAAGCAGATATTTATTCTGCATCGTGCATTTCATTAATAGGTTTATCTGTTTATCTGTCTTTTAAAACTTTTTCTATTTGAAATGTTCCTGGTTTAAAGCTTTTTGTGTCCTCATTCTGTATGCATAGTCAGTAGTCCACTTGTCAATGTTAAGTTTCCATAATGAAGAGGCTGATGAAGGGGATGTATTAGTCACAGTTTTGGAAAGAGACTTAAATCCATCAACATACTACATGCTACTATGTACTTACTACAAATTACTTCTGGCTAAGGAAGTTTCTGTCTGTGGATTTGTACCAGCAAGTTGCTATGCTTGGAAAAAAGCTTAATTTGCAAACAAACAAACAAAACCAAAAAAAGACCCATAAGTCAACGGTGTGAGGATCTGATCCACAGAGTAAAGCTACTCTTTCTAAAAATACTGCTGCTATAAAAGTTTTCCGTTCTTTCTGATCTGACTTCAGCTGCTCAGACTGCTTGACTTTGTTGTCAGCCCTTTCTTTTATCAGCTAATGAGAAATTCCCATTGGGAAGTACAAGAGTGAGTTCACTCATTTAAAAAAAAATAAATAAATATTGCAGATGCAGCCCCTATGTTTTGAAAATTAATACTGGCCTCTAATAAAAGTGCACTTTGCATGGGTAAGTGCAACTGTGACACATTCCTTAATCATGGCATCCTCAGACAATCTAATCAATAGGACTTCATATCTATATTTTGTCTAACTATTGCTTAAAGCAGCTTTAAACAGATTTGGTACAACCATCACTTCATTTTCCAAAACCTACTATTAAATAAGTGCCTTCTGCTTTATTCAATCAGTGTTTTATTTTGATTCTGTAACCAGATCATAGCCTTAGAAGCTCAAGTTGTTTGGGAAAAACTCTTTCAGTATATAAATAGCACACTGGCACAAAACTTGTATGCTAATACAAGTGTTCATGGTTCATCTTTTATTTTTAAATCATCTCAGGTAAATTAGTTAACTTACAGTCAATGACTAATCATGAAGAGGGTCCTGAAGAATACAAATACTGAACAGGAGAGGAAAGGGATGAACCCCTTTTTTGTAATGAGTGATGTTACACTACATAAATAATACATTTCTTAATATAAAATATTATGTCTCCCTGGAGAGATTAAAAGCCCAACTGGACGAGGTCCTGTGCAGCCTGCTCTAGGTGACCCTGCTTTGAGCAAGGGTTGGACCATGTGGTCCCCAGAGGCGCCTTCCCACCTCGGTAATTCTGTCTTGTATAAATAGTGACTTTTTGCACTGCGTGCACCCAATTACTCTTGGTCCCTTAAATGTTGGTGTTCTCTTTGTTTGTGGGAAAGCACCTGGTCACTGTATACTATATATTTATGGAGGTGGTAGAGCAGCTCTGTTTACTTTTTTATGATGCCTTAGGTATAGTAACAAACAGTTTTTGAGTTTACCATGCACAGGGTGGAGAGAGGTTCATCTCACCTATGTTGGACTAACACTATTCTACTAAAAAAAAAAAAAAAGTAATGCGAAGATGCTTGTAGGATATATTTATGGTTATGCTTTGGCTTTTAAGCAGATAGATTTCCGTGAGGATGATCAAGGGACTGGTGCATTTCTCCTCTGAAGACAGACTGAGGGAGCTGGGTTTGTTCAGCCTGGAGAAGAGGAAGAGGATCTGGGGAGACCTTACAGCAACCTGTAAGCCTACTGGGGGCCTACAGGAAAGCTGGGGAAGGACTCTGTCAGGGAGTGTAGTGACAGGATAAGGGGTAATGGTTTTAAACTAGAAGAGGGTGGACTGAGATCAGATATTAGGAAGAAATTCTTCACTTGGAGGGTGGTGAGGCAGTGGTACAGGTTGCCCAGAGAAGCTGTTCCAGGAAGTGTTCGAGGTCAGGCTGGATGGAGCTTTGGGCAACCTGGTCGAGTGGGAGGTGTCCCTGCCAATGGCTAGGGAGTTGGAACTGGGTGGTTTTTACAGTCCCTTCCAACCCAAACCACTCTGTGATTCTCAGGTAACAGAGCTGTGCACAAGAAGCCTGGTTCTTTTGCTGTTCCTGCGAACTTGGAGTTCTGTAATTCTTACCAAAGGAAGAGCTGAGATCCTGGAGAGAGCATTCTGGGATTCAGAACCTGTGTTGCAGCTCTGTTTCTCTGACCCCCTGCAGAAAATGAACATTCCTAACAGCTGGCTTAGGAAGGGAGCAGAAAGGAAACTCTCTGCAGCTAGAAAGTTAGTTAGTTACTACTTCCTAGGCCCAGCTTCCTTCGTGTTTATCTTTAATAATTTTGGTATTGCTTGTAAATCTCCATTGCAAGCAACATGAGACGACTCTTTTGAATTTCAGAAGTGACCCCAAGATGTCTAGCAGCAACAGGAAGGGAATCCCAGAATCCCGTTTACTTCCCCCTACCACTTGCTAACAATTAACAAAACTGATTGAGCCATCTCCAGAAAAAAACAAGCCTCTCCTGTGGAGTCTGCAAGCTTTTTTTTTTTTTTTTTCTTTCCCCCTCAACGGTTTCTAACAATCTCCACACCAGTCTTACCAGTCTTGAAATTTGTATTCAGCTCCTTGGTCATAAGGAGACTGCTACGTAACTACTACTGAGGCTTTTTGAGCATCAAGTTTTAGGTTTCCTGTCCAGCTAAGACATCTTAGTGTAGAACACAGGTTGAGCCCTACATGAAATGCATCTTCATTAGCTTTTTATTTTTTAAATCAAAAAGTGACCTGGGATTAAACTGTGTCAGCATACGAGGGAAAAAAAAGTAAACCCAACTATCAAAAAATGAGTGAGATATATGGGAACGTATTAGTTTGTGTGTAGTAATTGTTTAAGATGAGTATTTGTTAGGCTCCACTACACTTTCCCAGTAAACGGTTAGAATTTGCATGTAGTTTTGTGTGATAAAATACCCCGGTCCTTCTGTTTAAGTCACTCTTTGTAGAATAGTACCAGGTCTCCCTGTTTTGCACCAGTGGTAGGGTAATTGTATTATGGTGGTAACTAGAATATGGGAGGGGAGGGGGGAAAGTGAAGCTGTGTTTAGGGAAGGGAAAAGAGTGTTTAGACCTAGTCTTTTACTTGTCAGTGGTATTTTGTACTAACTCTCTTACAGAATGACAATCCTAAGATTCACAATGGAGGTAGGCCACCTTTCTGCAAGTTGATAGAATCAATTTGTTGAACATCAGAACTTACTGCTTGTAGTTTATTCTAAGATTCTTGTAAATTAAAACCTTGTTGAATTATCTTGCCGTTATTTATTAACTGTCGTGTTTTCCTTATTAGAACTTGTACGTACTGTTATGTGCTGCATCGTCAAAGCATTCACTACATTGTTTATATGCAGCAGTAATATTTTAGAAAATAATAAAACTTAAGACAACACAGTTCTCTATTTTTCTTGTACCTGTAGCAACTGTTTAACAGACTACCTCCCTTCCTGTTGTTCCAGCATATGTCTGAAATGTGGTGCCACTCCATGAATAAATTAATCTGAAGTAGAAGCTTATTATAAATAACAATAGAATATAGCCTTTCAATAAACAAGCACATTGCTTCTTAAGTAACCGACTAACTGGAAAGCATGATTTGAAGACAATGCTACTTAAGAAGAAACAAGAATGTTTTTAAACTAGTTGTGCTTCTGTCATCTGATACTGTAAAAATACGACATTTTGCCTAAAGAAAAGGGGCCAATTTAAGCACCTCACATAAATAGTTTTGGATTTTCACTCTTCGAGAAAAAAAAGTTTTTGAACTAGGATGGAAAACAAAAATCTCATTGGTTAACCTTGTCTTAGGAATTATTGTAACAGAAACATTTGTATTTAGTTACATGGGAGTTCAGTAGTCAGTATTATTGAAAATACAGCTAGTAAATATTTTTTTTGTTCATACCTGTTTTGTGTTGCTGTAGTAGAAAGGTGATCGGTCTTTGGACTGATGTTTTTGTGCCAGTTTATATGTTGTCTTTTGCGGGGCAGAGAGGGGAGAGGAAGACGACAAGACTGCTTGTGGGCAGTTTCTTCTTATCACACTGTGCTTAGATAGCTGCATACTAATTAGAATTTCTGTTGACCACAATATAAAAGCAATAATGTAAACGGTGATGTCTGTGTAATGGAAAGATGTTTACAATGGTAGCAAATAAAGAATGAGTTATTCTATAACATTGTCAACGTTTGCGTGTTATGGCTATGGTTGTTAGAAAATTTGCAGTGTACAGTTGGCCATGCTCTCAGCACATACTGCGACATGAGGGAAGGCTTTATCACGCTCTTCTAATCCCCTCTTCAGTTCTGACAACTCATTTTAGAGTTCTCTAAGGTTCTTCTACTGGGTTTGCATTTTTGTCTTTCCTAGTAGCCCTGTACCACAAGTTGTAGAAGTGGTATACAGGGGAACATTTGTGTGTGTGGAAGCTGAACTGGCAAAAATCAACAGCAAGAACAAAAGGTAGTTGTCTCACATTTTCTAGTTTAAAAATCAGAATCCAAGATAGGCATTTAAAAATCAAACACCAGAAGAAAGGAACTGGAACAGTAAATCAGATCTACACAAACTCTCAAGATCCTTCTGGTGCTATAGAGAAATTCTTACACGCAACTCTGCTTGAAATCTCATATCTGTTTTAACAGAAAATTGTGAAATAGGCAAGTCAGTTTGACACATCTGATAAATTTCTGTGTGTTGTGACCTTTAAACACTTCCTCCCTCCCTCTTCATGAACATGAAACATGTTTTTCTTAGCCAAAGTCATGGCTACAGCATGTTGCTGAGACTAACGACACTGAACTGAAAGGAAATGCTTTTTGCTTTATTAGCTAAGGGGCTTCTCCGGGTATCTCCTTCACTTTGTTCTACACCTGACTCAAAAGACTGGCATCCCTTTCTCTCTTTCGAAATTCTTTTGGTCCACACCAATAAAAGCAAGCCTTGCTTCCTTGATATATATTATACACAAAAAACATACTGGATTGGGAGGAAGCAAAGAGTTGTTCTGCTGAGTCTCTGTAGCTACAGGACTACATTGGTAGCTTTAGGGGGACAGCACAAATAAGGTTATAGAATATAAGACAATATTACACAGGTAGACTGCCACGCCCTACTTGCAGCAGAACCTGGCAGTAGGTGGTTATTACAGCTCCTACCTGTCACCAGGTGTCTCCAGTACCATTTGATAATCGTGTGCAAAACAGAACAATAAAAACAAAAGGGTTTTGTTTGAATGGCTAGGACAAGCCTTCTCTGCATTAAGTGCGCAAGGATTTTTGTTCAGGAGAGCAAAGCTCAGGAACAAACTTTGACAGCTGGAACTCTGGCAAACTTTTCCAGAGAAAACGGGAAACCCTGATTTACATGTATTTTGGTTGTCTGGCTGTTCCCTCTCCCCAAACCAAGAAAGGATCTTTTACTTCCTTTACCCCTTCCACCATGCACTCATCTTCATACATGCTATGTTAAAATATTTACTTAGTTTTCAAATTCTATTTGTATTTCTCATGGGGCTTTTGTTTCTACTTGCAAATTTTAGAGACCACATGCTTCTATCAGTGTACTAAAGTGCCACTACACAAGAATTGCAAGATTTTACCTGTAGGACTCCCCCCACACTGCTTCAGAAGCATAGAACAAGCCTTGCACTGCAGAAACATCCCACTCCCCCACCCCCAAGATGAACAAAACCCCAAACATGCAGTTGGTCAGTTATGTAAATACCAGTTGTTTTAGAAAAAGGGATGAGGAAGCAGGCATTCAGGAAGCTTAAACAGATGGAGCATGCTAGAAAAGAAGAACCTGTGGTATATTCTCTTCTAATAGGACATGCTCTGGGAGATTACCTTAAAGCACTTTTTGAGAGCATCTTTCATTGCACTTAAAAATAACTTACTTTCCATGTTTCATTCATTCTATTTCCAGCACTGAAACACTCTTATGCAATGACACTGCTGGTACAAGCATGTAACACATTTTTTATTACTAGCCATATTCTATTTTACTGTTTACGCCATATTTTGTTCTAATTGTTTGCCCTCATGCTAATCTATATTTTCACTGAATCTGTCATACTGAACTATTTTTTTTTTATATATATATACACTGAATAAACCACCATTTAAACTGACCGTTAAAAAGTTACAATGGTTGGACTTGTAGTGCTATTTTCTAGTGGAAAGAAAAATCTTTTCTTTGAACTATGGGCTAAGGCTCAGTAATAAATGCAACTGCTTCAGTTTCATTCTTGCTACAAACTTACGCCTCCACATGTATCTGAACTGGCAAGCTTTTGTTCCAGACCAGCCTTAGACATTGATGTCTCAGGCCAAAAAGAAAGCCCAGCACATTGTAATCTGATGCAAAAGGCTAGGATACTGAGGCACTCTCCACAGGTGAGCTAGCCTACCAACTCCTACACTACTCCATATTATCTCAGTTTCAAGAGGTTTTAGTCTAAGCCCGACTACTCAAATTTTTCTTACAAAAATGGATGCAACAGCATCAAGGTGGTAGTAGTTTGTTTTTTGTTTTTCTAAATGCAGTTAATATGACATTTCTGATAAAGGCATCTTCTAATTACAGCATATAGTCACATTACTGAATTACCAAGAACATATGAGAATAAACTGTCAGGGATAGCAGCAGAGTAACACCATTGGAGGTCATCAACAGAACTACAAGCTAAATGGGAAAAGAAATGGTGAGCTGTGCTCCCTACCTGTCAGGCATGGATATGAAGCTACAGGTGCCTTCTCTGATCTGTTGCTTCTTCATCTAGGCAGGTTGTAGGTTTAAGGTGCTTGTACACTGCCTTGATTTTTTTCTTGTTTGTTTCTGTACTGCACCTACTGCCAGGAGGCCCGATTACCATAGTCTTAAAATGCTGCTGCAAAACTACAAGTAATAGAAAATCTGTGATAGGAGGGATCCAGAAGCTTACAGAACACCAAGCACGGCACACAGCTTACCAACCAAAAGCATTCTCTCTTAGTTCAACCAACTGCACTAAGACTATTCCCTTTTGCTCCCATAGCCGACCTACACACCATATATCCTCTGCTATCTTCATTAATGGTGCAGCACCTGAAACGTAACATCCACTGTAATACAAGCTCCAGTGCCACTCTATTGGTCCCCTGAAGATGCTTTTCTCTTTTGAGTTATTAGACATCAACTTTTCAGTAGGTTTAAATCCAACACACACACTTTCCATCTGCTTGCTAAGAAGTTACATGACATAAGCCTTTACATGCCCCCAAACACAACCTTTACCTCTAATGTCCAGAATTCAGGTACTGTACTATGATAAAGGAAAGAGGTACCATTCAACTTTCATACACTATGATGAAATAACTTGAAGGGTAGATTCTTAGTGGCTTCCCCCCCCTCCCCCCCCCCTTTAAAGTAGAGCTTTATAAAACAGCCTCCCACTCCCCATCACTTGCTGTCTCTTTGCAGGCAGCACCCCCCTGACCACCTGGCTCCCCCCCAGATCAGACAAGCAGAGCTTATCAGCATCCAGTCACAAGTTTCAGTTCCAAAAAAGGAAGGAGATCTTATCCTCTCTTTTTTCTTCTATCTACAAGATTAACAACCTTAACTAAACTCTACAGTTCACAGACTAAAACCAGTCTCTATCTCAAAGCATATCAAACAGCTGATTTGCTTGCACAGCATGCCCACGCATACAAGTAAGACTTTAAATGTTCACTCACGTTTTCTTGAAGGCCTTCACGTGACAGTGTACTGGTCAAATGAACTCTAGCAACTTTCTTCTCACCAGCTTGCAGCAGACCTTGCCATCAAACAGCCAACTACCAGGTGGCCGTTGGGTGTGCTCTTGGCCAGCTGAACAGCCTTACAAAGTATCTGGAGAAAATCAGCTCACCTGGCTGCTTCCTCTAGCAAAGTAACACTTACAAGATGATGTGGCTTACATTTAAAAACCTTGCTGAGACAGTTGCGCTAGCATGGCAAGGAAATCTTCCACAAAATAAATCACATTGTAACACCAGAGATCTTTGTGGATGCCTCTCCTTAAGAGAAGCTGTAACAGCAACAGAACTTCAGGATAAAAGCCGTGATCTGTGCACCTCTAGGGCTGTGTGGGAGACTGCTGATATATTTTGGGGGTCTGCAAACTGAAAAAGGTTCAGCCTGCTTAAGGAAGTGTTGAAGATTTCTGTGATAACTTATTTAGCTGCCAGGCATTTACAGTCAAGCACCCTGTTCTGGCATATGAAATTAAAGCACCCAAAGTCATATTCTTCAGAACAGTGATTGCAGCTTCAAACGAATGTCACGATTTGATATGCATGTAAACCAACTTACTCGCAAGAAATGAAATGTAAAATGATCGAGGCAAGAATATGTGAGCACAGCCATTAACTCAAAGTGCTCAGAAGTTAACAGATTAACTTTTTTTTTTTTTTTTTCCAAATTAACTTTATATACATACAGAGAATGAGATGGTAAAATTAAATAATAAATCTGTTTACTGAATAGATATATATTACCAGTTCTTTAACTGTCATGGTTAAGAGGCTGACAGCTTACCCTGTGAAAAACATTCTAATATATAAAAACTTAAAAGCATGTCTAGTAAGCTACAGCAAAACACAGGTGGTTTATAGAATACCTGTGGGTCTTAAAAAGTATTAACAACTGTTTTCACCAAATGTGAGCATAACACAAAAATGTTTCAAGAAGTTGGGCAGCATGAGAGACCTCTACATGGGTTGCTTGTTGCAGATGGAATTAAACATGTTCAAGTGTTAAACAAACAAACCAAGGCACGGAAACAGCAAATGTTTTTGTTCTGAAAACTGGTGTTGAAGATTCAAAATCATTTGCCTCTGTAATAAAACCCAATCACCTATTTTCCCTCTAGCATGACTTTAATAGTTAAAAACCACATCTGTGCAGTGTATTTTATTTGTTCACATTACCCTATTTGTGGTTAAAAACCACTTTATCTGACAGTTTAAAAGCATTCTTTTAAAACAAAAGAATTAAACACAGCTTCAGCTAAAAATCTGCAAGTTACATGGATGCAATATACAGGAGTATAAAAAATCAACAGTATTCTACAGAAAATATTCTCAAAACAGCAAACAAAGATTAGGCATATAGGCATGATCCAGAACTGAACAAATATGAATTATAAAACAGCTAACAAAATAATAATAAAAAAAAATCCTGAATATCTGTATAAAAGAAGCAAGGATTCAAAGTGCAGGTGCTCCCGTTTTCATTTTAACATATTATTCAGTAAGCTGATACAGGATACTATTTATTTTATATAAAGTGACAGTGTTCTCAGTAAGACTTAAACATTCAGTTACATTATCTTGCAGATTTTTTACCTTATTTCTACTTTACACCGTTGTAAATGAAGACTTATGCAATACAGGTTTTTAACTTCTTAATCTAACAAGGATATAATAGGTTGGTGGTAAAGGTTAGTTTTAAGAGCTAAGCTATTTTTGCTGTAGATTCAGCTATAGATTTATTTTTTTAAAAACATCTTTCATTTTTTTAAAAGGGACTCCACCGATCTGTTTAGGTACCTGCATACACTGTATTTGGAGCACAACAGCAAGGCTTCCAAGTCTACTTGTTAGGAATACAGACAGCTCCAGGCATAGTCATGCTGGAGAATTTCCCTTGGTGGCCACTGCTGGGGAAGGACTTTCCCTCTGCTGGGTTTGGTAAAGCTGCAGGTGGCTGAACCCAGAGATAGGCAAATGGGCTCTGAGTCCTGTTGGAGCAAAAATCATCACATTTAACCACATTTGCCTGACATGTCAGCTGGACTTGGAATGCACTTCTCATTTCTGAATGTACCATTCTCATGCAGGGAAAATTATGATCCAGGCAGGTATCAGTGAAGTGATTTTTCATGTATTCAAAAAATAAAATTGAAGCATGCATTAAAAAATGTTACCCTCTTAAAAAAAAATAGTTGTATGAAATAAAGTTATACTTCTGGAATGCTGCCTGGAACTTTATTTCACCCCGAAGTCCTATTCAGGTTGACAGTGTCCCTTTAAATTTTAGGTACTTTCTGTTTTTGTTTTGTTTTGTTTTTCTCCCAATAATCAGATCTCTATATATGTGTATTTTAAAAATACACATAAATATCGGCATTAAGTTTATATATAGAAGTTAAGAACTAATCTTTACCATTTTATATTGACAGCAAGGTTAATAATACACACACTTCACTGACAACTTATTTTTTTCTGTACTTTGAATAAAATTTGCATTCGTGTAATATTTCCCACAGAAAGAGTGATTATATTTCAAGATAATTAAGTTTGCACCCCAACATTTTCACATTAGTGAAAACAATTATATTTTGAAAATACCAGGGCCTGTGCCAGGTACTAATAAATACATAATAAAAAAAATAAATAAAAAACCCAACTGCCTTTTATCCCGACATAGTAGAGATTTCATAGTCACTGGCCGAGGTTATTGGTTTACCCATCATCCTCACATTTTTAGCATTAGTAATCCTAGCCATCATGGACACAGGCTTGTCAAAGTACCTAACCAGTGCTGGCTCAGTCAAAAGGGAGGCTAAAAATTGTTCAAAGGTGATGGCCCAGTCTCTGTCAATGCTAGTGCTTCTACGAAGAGAAGTGGTGTGGTTGCTCCGTACTAAAACAGTGTCTTCACCGATGTCCTCGCAATGCAGCTTTTCTTCTTCGTGTGAACCTGCACTCAGTACCGAGTAGGAGGACATCGAACTATCATCTTTTGTATCGTCATCAGAAATGAGCATGGAAGAGCAGGCTCCGTTGTCCCTGGGAGAAGAGTCTTCGAGCTTAATGTCTTCCATCTGCATGCCCAGGGTGCTGTCGGTGCAAACTACCTCCTCATCGTTGGTAGCAAGGCTGCCTTGGAATGGCTTGTGCTGCTCAAGGGGATACTGCTGGCTGTCTTTTTTCTGAAACAGCTCGCTCTGAATAGTTTTGCTGCAATTGTTACTGCTGCTGTCTGTCTCTTTTGTGGGCTGCACCGTGAAGAGCTTACCAACTTCACCTATCTCCAAAAGCAAGCTTGTCACAGCAGCAGTAGCATGGTACAGATCTTGTTCATTGGGGTCTTCACTGAACATATTATACATTGTCTTGCACAGTTCAATGAACTGTCCCTAAACACAGAGGGAGAGAACATTAATGAGAGAGCAGAAAACAAATTCAGCTTTTGAGATCTAGTATATCAGTTTAAAAGAAGTTTTGAATGGAGGCAAGACACAATTGTTTATATGATTAAACTGAAATTGAAAATACTCGGTGTATAGTCTAGAAAGCACTTTCTATGATTAGACAGCCAGATGTGCTGCTGCCTGCCTGTCTCAGCTATTTACAATAAACTGCTGGTTGTTCCTTACAATATATGACAAATATATCTCTCTGCAGCCACAGGAGGGCAACAGAGGGTGAGCAGTGAGACACAGCATTAATTTTGGTGGCTTTTCTTGTTGGAGGAATACTAAGTATAACTAATGGCTTGATAAAACTAATGACAAGTAATGAGAAATGAAGGAAGTGACTGGCAGTACTCTCTTAATTGGCAGTGGTAACTCAGTTCAATGCAAGCCTTTCAAAATTCAAAACTGACTAATAGGAAGGAGATTTGCTTAGGGCTACCTGAAGTAAAAAGTATTGTTCTAGGAGTACACCTTCCCTATATGCTCTGTAAGGAACAGCTGTCCCAATGGGTCTTTATCCTCCTTCACTGCAATAAATCTAATGCGAAAAAGACTGACAGTATGAATTACAAAATGCAAAATGCTTCTTGCATGTAATGTGTATTAGACATCATGTGGTAGCTGCTAATACTCTGTGTCCTATTACCCTTTGTCTGGAGATCTAAATAAAAAATTATCATTCCTATCTGTGCATCTCACTTTTAGGATGTTTTGGGAGCTGAATGCCAGTATGTTGAAGACAACTAACGTCTACATTCAGCTGACTGCTGTGTTTTGTTGTTGTTGTTGTTGTTTTTAAAAAAAAGCATCTGCCTCAAAATAAAACCTTTAATTAACATGAATGTATGAATATTTGTAGGTATGCAAAAAAAAAAAAAAAAGTTTAAAGTTCATTAAAAATATGTGTCTGCAGAAGTACCTGATTCAGCCTGGGCAATTCCTTTGAGTTTTTTGCTTTGGATTTATTCTCTTGGCTCCACATTCTCAGGTAGTTCCGATTCTCTTGTGAACTCTTCTTGCCTACTGTACAACATAACCAGAGATGCAGAAAAGTCCATGAAGAAACCTTATATTAATACTTTTTTCCATTTTCAAAAGGAGCGTTTTGTCAAGAAATGAAAGATGTATGCATACCTTTGTCTGTTTTCAGACTCACTGTAACAAACCCATCATCTACTCCCTGTTTGTTCCTGCTGTCTAGGCCAACGACTAGGTGGGGAGAGAGAGAGATCAGTGTAGTCTTAGCTGCATACATACATTTCATGTGTACAGTGCAAAATAAAATGTTCACACTACAGAAAACGCAGAGTGAAAATGATGAGACTAAACCAAAATTTTTGCTTATTCTAAAGTGTGCTCACAAATCCCTTATCATAATATAAATACTAATACAGGGACCCTCTTGGGTTTTGTTTGTGTAGTACAACGATTATTAGCTTGTGTTACCACAACCCAAACAGCACCTAAGGAGAATCAACTGAATTACATTTTGGTATATCTGTTGCCTCCAGTTTTTAATTTCCTGAGTTCTGTGATCCAAATATATCATGAAAGCCAATATATTTATTGCCATTCTCCATCAAGAAATATTACGCAGCAGTTATCACAAAATTAACTCCACAGTAACACACTGATGACATTATTCTGAGAGCACTTCTCCAAAGCACAATCCAGGGGACCCCTTAGCATACACACACACCTCTAAGGATACCAAACTACATACAAAGGCCACATACTTCTTTTTACAGAAAAAAGTTCATTTACAGTGTATAACACAATAAAAAAAAGTAGCTTTTTAAGAAGGCATGGTGTTTGAAATACATTTTGTTCTTTTCAGGTCCAAAACAAAAGATGCCTACCATGTGTACATTCTGGTGTAATGTCTTCAAAAAAGTACTGTGTGGCTTCAAAAGCAGAGTCTGGCTCTTCTTGCTCAGGGGATGGATC